CGGGGTGGAGGACGCGGGATTAAACTTCAGCTCACCTCTATGAGCCGTGAGTGACCTGGAGTGGGGGCCCCGGTAAGCTCATCAGAGTTCCCAATGTGCCCATTGCATTGGAAAGGCCATCGGTGGGTACATCCACAGCACTCCGTACCACGGTTGAGCCATCTGGTTGTAATGGTATTTGGGCTCCATATGGCTCTAGGATGGTCTTTGTTCGGTTGTTGATGATGAGTGGTGTGGTGAAAAGGTACCTGTCCCTTGCACATGATCATAGAATCATAGAATATCAGGGTTGGAAGGGACCTCAGGAGGTCATCTAGTCCAATCCCTGCTCAAAGCAGGACCTAATCTCCAACTAAATCATCCCAGCCAGGGCTTTGTCAAGCCTGACCTTAAAAACCTCTAAGGAAGAAGATTCCACCACCTCCTAGGTAACCCATTCCAGTGCTTCACCACCCTCTCCTAGTGAAAAAGTTTGTCCTAATATCCAACCTAAACCTCCCCCACTGCAACTTGAGACCGTTACTCCTTGTCTTGTCATCTGCTACCACTGAGAACAGTCTAGATTCATCCTCTTTGGAACCCGCTTTCAGGTAGTTGAAAGCAGCTATCAAATCCCCCCTCATTCTTCTCTTCTGCAGACTAAATAATCCCAGTTCCCTCAGCCTCTCCTCATAACTCATGTGCTCCAGACCCCTAATCATTTTTGTTGCCCTACGCTGGACTCTTTCCAATTTTTCCACATCCTTCTTGTAGTGTGGGGCCCAAAACTGGACACAGTACTCCAGACGAGGCCTCACCAATGCCAAATAGAGGGGAATGATCACGTCCCTCAATCTGCTGGCAATGCTCCTACTTATACAGCCCAAAATACTGTTAGCTTTCTTGGCAACAAAGGCACACTGTTGACTTATATCCAGCTTCTCGTCCACTGTAACCCCTAGGTCCTTTTCTGCAGAACTGCTGCCTAGCCACTCGGTCCCTAGTCTGTAGCAGTGCATGGGATTCTTCCGTCCTAAGTGCAGGACTCTGCATTTGTACTTGTGGAACCTCATCAAATTTCTTTTGGCCCAATTCTATAATTTGTCTAGGTCCCTCTGTATCCTATCCCTACCCTCCAATGTATCTACCACTCCTCCCAGTTTAGTGTCATCTGCAAACTTGCTGATGGTGCAATCCATGTCATTCTCCAGATCATTAATGAAGATATTGAACAAAACCGGCCCCAGGACCGACCCTTGGGGCACTCCGCTTGATACCAGCTGCCAACTAGACATGGAGCCATTGATCACTACCCGTTGAGCCTGATGATCTAGCCAACTTTCTATCTACCTTATAGTCCATTCATCCAACCCTTACTTCTTTAACTTGCTGGCAAGAATACTGTGGGAGACCTTATCAAAAGCATTGCTAAAGACAAGGAATAACACATCCATTGCTTTCCCCTCATCCACAGAGCCAGTTATCTCGTCATAGAAGGCAATTAGGTTAGTCAGGCATGACTTGCCCTTGGTGAATCCATGCTGACTGTTCCTGATCACTTTCCTCTCCTCTAAGTGTTTAAAAATTGATTCCTTGAGGACCTGCTCCATGATTTTTCCACGGACTGAGATGAGGTTGACTGGTCTGTAGTTCCTTGGATCCTCCTCCTTCACTTTTTAAAAGATGGGCACTACATTAGCCTTTTTCCAGTCATCCGGGACCTCCCCCAATCGCCATGAGGTTTCAAAGATAATGGCCAATGGCTCTGCAATCACATCCGCCAACTCCCTTAGCACCCTCGGATGCAGCGCATCCGACCCCATGAACTTGTGCTTGTCCAGCTTTTCTACATAGTCCTGAACCACTTCTTTCTCCACAGAGGGCTAGTCACCTCCTCCCCATACTGTGCTGCCCAGTGCAGTAGTCTGGGAGCTGACCTTGTTCGTGAAGACAGAGGCAAAAAAAGCATTGAGTACATTAGCTTTTTCTACATCCTATGTCACTAGGTTGCCTCCCCCATTCAGTAAGGGGCCCACATTTTCCCTGACCACCTTCTTGTTGCTAACATACCTGAAGAAACCCTTCTTGTTACCCTTAACATCCCTTGCTAGCTGCAACTCCAAATGTGATTTGGCCTTCCTGATTTCACTCCTGCCTGCCTGAGCAATATTTTTATACTCTTCCCTGATCATTTGTCCAATCTTCCACTTTTTGTAAGCTTCTTTTTTGTGTTTAAGATCAGCAAGGATTTCACTGTTAAGCCTAGCTGGTCGTCTGCCATATTTACTGTTCTTTTTACACATTGGGATGGTTTGTTCCTGCAGCCTCAATAAGGATTCTTTAAAATACAGCCTTCCCCCTCATGTTATTCTCCCAGGTGATCCTGCCCATCAGTTCGCTGAGGGCATCAAAGTCTGCTTTTCTGAAGTCCAGGGTCCGTATTCTGCTGCTCTCCTTTCTTCCTTGTGTCAGAATCCTGAACTCAACCATCTCATGGTCACTGCCTCCCAGATTCCCATCCACTTTTGCTTCCCCTACTAATTCTTCCCTGTTTGTGAGCAGCAGGTCAAGAAGAGCTCTGCCCCTAGTTGGTTCCTTCAGCACTTGCACCAGGAAATTGGATGACCATCATCATCTTCACTAGACAAATGTAAAGCTACCTGAGAAGTCTGGGGATCCCCGCTATAATGTTCAGGGAACCCTCGGTACTGAGCAAAGGGGACTGTGGTGCTGAAGGGATAGTCAAGGCTCTCTGTTGCAGCAGATTCTGTGGCATTTCAGGTGGTGGTACCGTCGGTGCCAATGGGGGTGCTCTCATCGGTGGCGACATCGGTGCCATCAGGTATTGTGGCAATTTAATCAGTGTGGCTGGTGCTGATTTCGCTTTCTCTACTGGTGCCAACTGCGATGTTGGTGCCAGAGGAGGAGGCATGTTGCTGGAGGAAACACTTTGTACCAAGTCCCTCACCGGTGAGGAGGCATGTCTTCATCTGTGCCTCCATGCCGTGGAGGAGGCATGTCTTCATCTGTGCCTCAACTCCGTCTCCTTCGCTCGGGACTCGGCTGTGCCAGAGGTACTTGGAGCATCAGAGGTGCTCACTCAAGCATGTGTCGGCATCGAGGGTACTAACCTGGCAGGAGACCGCCGTTGTTTCTGCGGTGCTCTCTGCGGAGAGGTCTGTGCCCTCTTCCTTGGTCTTTTAGAGGAAGGCATGTCTCCTGTCCCTGAGGGGGGGGTGCCTGGAGAGGTGGTCCGTGGGTCCATCTCAGGTTGGAGAGATTTCTTCCTCAAGATCATTTTGAGGTGGAGATCCCAGTCGCGCCAGGCTCTTGCCTTCAGGTTGCTACAGTGGACACATTTTTGTGGTATACGCGCCTCCCCGAGACATCTTACACACAATGAGTGCCCGTCAGAAATGGGCATTGCTTCACGGCAGGAGCTGCATCACTTAAAGCCTGGGGAGCCAGGCATCTCTGACAGTTAACTGATGGTGCGGGAAAACTACGGGGAGGGTAAAATCGGGAGAAGTAAAGTAAAAAAAATTTTAAATAACACTAACACTAACTATAACTTTCTAACTCATTAACTAACTATTTAAACTACTATTTCTAAAGGTATGGGAAGAATGGTGAACACTGCCCCAGAGCTCTGTCTTCAGCCAAGGATGGTTGAGAAGAAACTGGAGGGGTCAGGTCATGTGCACGCTAGACGCGGCACCAGCAGCACCACAAGATATCTACCATGCACGCACGACACTGCTACCGTAAATCTCTGATTGACGGTGCCGGGTCACACTGACACCTGAAGTGGAGCACCTACAGGGACAGCACTCAAAGAAGCAGCAACAGATTTATAATCTGCCCATTATGGCATGACATGCAAAACCCAAGCGTTCGGCCATGTTTCACACAGTCAACTGGCTTGTGTCACACACTGGCAGGTTTGAAGATTGCAAAGTATATTTGTATACAGACTACAAATGTCCTAGTACATTAAATGTCACAACCGGTACAACAAATAACAGTTAAAACTTTGTGATCAGTGCTGGGACTACAACATGTGTGCTCACGAGTTAGTGTCCAAGTGTGGGAAATAGTAGAAGGCTCAAAATCAGGTTTTGGAGGACAGGAACAATAGCTGTTCTCTAGGACAGATGGATTAAAGGCAGAGAAGGTTCTCAAGAGCAGCACGGCAGCCAGGGCCGGCTCCAGGCACCAGCTTCTCAAGCAGGTGCTTGGGGCGGCTGCTCCGGAGAGGGGCGGCACGTCCAGGTATTCGGCGGCAATTTGGCGGACGGTCCCTCACTCCGCCTGGGAGCGAAGGACCTCCCGCCGAATTGCCGCCGCAGATCGCGATTGCGATCGCGACTTTTTTGTTTTGTTTTGTTTTTGTTTTGGCTGCTTGGGGCAGCCAAAACCCTGGAGCCGGCCCTGATGGCAGCTGTCTGGGACAGAAACTAAGGAAGGAACAGTAGCCTGGGAGTGATTATGGAAATAGAAAGGGAAGATGAGTTGGTGGGATGGAGGGAAAAAGATCAGCTCAGATGCTTTAATATGCAGGCAGGAAAAAGCCAAGAAGTTACCAAACGTAAGATTAAGCAGCTAAAATATTGGGAACAATCTATGCTACCTGCAGCTACTGGGGCCTATTTGTTTGTGGTACCAAATTGCTACTCATGCTAATTTAACGTTGTTGAACTGAGACGTTAAATAAAGCAGTATTGTACAGCTGCTCTGAAATCTCCAGTGTTGTTGTTTCCTCCAGAAGGGATAATACAGTAATAAAAACATAAGAAGGAGAGAACAAGAGCAGTACATCAAGATGGAGAAGCATTCCATCATGTTCTATCAATAACGAGTCCTATTTTTTTCATATGTCTTAGGTGCTGCACACAGTAACATCTACATTCCTCCTTTCTTTGCCATTACAGTTCTGTTGTGTTCCTTTTGCTTCCCTCATAGCCTGGTTATTATCTGGATGTGTGCCACTTTGTTACCATACAAACCAAAGGACAACATACCTGCAACTCAATCCTGTCTTCTATTCTCAGTGCCTTCAGTGCCTCTATGTTATGTGTGAGCTTGTAGTTAATAGACACATGGTCCAGCTTCCGAATAAAGCTCAATTCTTCTGTAATCTGTTTTGTCAGCACAAAATATGTTATCACTTGTATGTAGTGCATCTCCAGTATAGACTGCATAGTGACCAATCATAACTATCATTTCTACTGCATTAGGGAAAACATTTCATAATGGATATCATAACACTTGTTTATGTTATAAATAGAATGTGGGTTTTGTCATACTTATTGTTTTTCTAAAAACTGGAGGGAATGTAATAGTGATGGCACAAAGAAAAGACTCTTAGAAAATGAACAGTTTTGCTACACCTTTGGAGATGGGCATCCTGGATCATTCCTGACATCAAATGCATTGTTATAAGAGAAAGTGCAGTTTGAAAGATTGAAAAAAATGTATTGGGGACTGGGCGACCCAGGAGGTTAGGGCCCAATCCAGCACTCATTGAAGTCTATGAGAATCTTTCCATAAATGTAAAGGACACTGGTTTGGGGGCCCTACGCCCGATTTAAAGCCCATTAGAGTCAATGGAAAAACTCCCATTGACTTAATGGGCTTTAGATCAGGCTCTTAATTAGTTAGACTTTCTATTTAAGAATATGGATAAATATCCAAGGTGAGTCACAGTGGTCTCATGAATGGTCTCATGCTATTCCTGAGTGGGCATGTGACTGTGGTGCAATGACTTTCAAGCCTTCTTTAAGTGTAGCTTGTAAGGCCATGAAAGTATATCTTTTAATGCATCATCCATAGTTCTAACAAGGCTCCCTCTGTCACCTATTCAAAATGAAAAAAAATAATGGTCACCAAATCAGCTCGATGTTTCTAACCTTTACTCTGAACAATAGGTATGAGGAGACACTTACTTGTTTGCCATCCACACTAAACTGAATGAATCTTTTATAGAGGTCACCATTTTTTTCTGAAGTCACATCCACTAATGTTCTTGCAGGAATGCCAAGGTCAATGGCTCCTTGAATATTATGAGTTATCAGGGCATCCAGCTCTTGTTTGTCCTGTTAGCAATTTAACACACACACAGGTTTAAATTATGATATTCTTCTCAGTGTGTGTAAAAGAGCCCAGCCCTTGTGGTTTATACACAGCTCAAAGGACAACCCAGTGAGTCTAGGTCTTCTCACACTCTGGTGTAAATTAGAAATAACTGTATTGAAGTTAATAGCGTTACACTATTTGTACTCTTCTATCTAGCGATATCTGACAACAAAAAAAGCTATAACCGCCATAATTTTATTGTGTCATTGAAGAAAGAAATAGAAGATGATTGAACTAGCCACTGCCCTTTCAAGTTGCACTATAAAACACAGAGTTCACTTTATTAATCAGAAACCTTTTATTTCTTCTATTATGTGTACTGCCATAGACTTTTATGACTATTAAATGGTATTATAGTAGGAGGAGATATATTGCATCTAGTCTGATGTTAGCTTCTGTATCATTGTATTGAGCATGGTATTTACTGTCCAAATATAATAAAAGCCATAATAGTGCAATATAAAAACAAACAAAATCTTCAAGGAACATAAACAAGTAATTAAGAAACTTGAGGTGGTCTGTATTATATTATTCGTAGCATTTGACTTACTGTACATTATAGCAGCCAACTGTTCAATTACTTAAAACACACATTAATGTTGCCTCAAACTATATATTTGTCCATTACTTAACAATTGTTAAAAGACAAAATTGCAGTTTCCCTATCTGTTTTTCCTAGTAATAAAATAGCAGTTTACAAGTATGAGTCACACTTCACCCCACACTCATTCCAATAATCAGCATGATACTTACATTAGTGGCTTTTAGTATAAGAAGGCCCTGTAATGTACTTTCATCGACAATTATTAATATTTGTGAATCTAGGTTCATTCTATCTATCAGGATGTAGCCTGATCCATCAATTTTTATTGGTGTTCCAAGCTCCTGCAATAAATAAAATAAACAATCTGCTTGAAAATGACTTGCTGTAGCATCTTTTATATTTATGTAACTTTTTTCCCCCTTAATAAGTGGACCATGTGGCATCTGGCTGGAAGACTAGTAAATCAGACAGCATGATTGTATAGTGCATGGTAAATATCAGAAACCTTTTATAAACAGTAAAGAGAGCGTATACATTGCTTCTTCCTCCTGCCTATTTTAAAATGTTTGCTTATATTTTAGTATGTGGCATAGCATAAATAGAGCACAAGATAATGTGGAAGCCTTTCTTGACTACCCTATGTCAGATTCAGTGATGTGACATAATGCAGCCATATATTCAGTGAAGCCAAGTTTATGGCTGCTTTGCATGGCAGTGATGCAAAGCGGCCAGAGTGTCCTGGTAAATCTGGCCCCATTCAGTGATAACATATTTCCAAAACTTTCCACCTTCACCTCTTCTCCTTTTCATTCCATCTCCTACCTACCTGGAAGCACTGTGGTCTATGGGAGCTAGGCTCATGGTACAAAAATGTAGGATTGCAATAGGATTTTCCATAAAGGACTATGCTGTCTATCACATAGCTTAGCTGCCATTTTTACTAGGAGTCCGATTCTCTTCACTCATAGCTCACGGGTATAAATGTATCAACATAGTGCAGGACAGTAAGGTGCTGCCAAGTCTGGAGTGGCAGTGTTTTGCATTCACTTCACACAGGTGTATATGGCTAACAAAGTGTCGGGGCAATGAAGAGTCAGGCCTCTGGGATTTTTAGAGGTGGACATTTCTCTTCTCTCCCCTACCCCTTTCCCCCCCTCATTTCTTCTGCCCAGGAGAGGTGTCAACTTGCTCCTGAGCTCCCTTTTTGTGAGCAATCCTACCTGAAGAGATGGGGTGGGTCTTTGTCACTGCAGCTGCATAGTACAAAAATGATCATTCAATTTTCATTTTGTACATGGTGGGTGGAATTCACCATCTATAACCAGTGGGTGGTGGTCACCAATGCAGCAGGTACCACTGATAAGGGCATGGATAGCTATGTAGTGAACAGACATACCCGTGTGGATGGCAAAGCTTGGCTCCTTGTCAGCTCCATGTTGCCCTTTTGATGTAGGATGGTTTAGAAATAGGCCAGGGGTGAGGCAAGGTCATTGCAGTTACATGGATCCAGTGGCCACAAACTCCAAAATTAGGACCTATGCAGAGTTGTAACTTCCACTGAAGGCCAAGGGTTGGAATAGGGGCAGCAGACATGCTACGGAGCTGCACCCATGGGTTATGGGGGTTGATTCTGTCCCCTCCGATCCCCTGCTTAGTTCCCTGAACAGAGTCTATTTACTTTGACTACAAGTAATGCAGTGGGGTAAATGTCACCCAATGTGAAGAGCCTATTTGTACTACGGGCTTAATTTTGTGTCTGTTTAATTAATAGAAAAATTTCCACTGAGTTTAATAGTGCAGGATTAGGCCCCATATTTGCTGGTAGTTGCACTGATTTCCTTCATATGAAGTTGACTGAAATGAGAGCTGATATTGTTCTTTAAGTTATTCCGCTTTTAAAAACGATTCCAAAGCAACAGAGGTTCTCCAAATGAAAAGGTGCTGCATAATTACTAGGACCACTAAGCCCAGGGTAGGGTCCACAACTGCACAATTATACAGGGTACTAAAAAAGAGTATTTATGTATATACAGGAATGGAACTTTCCACTTTGGAGAGAAAAATATTATAGTGCTGCTTAGACATCCTTACATGATGATAAACTGTTTTGGAGAAGTTATAATTTTTTAGGGCTAAATATCTGCTCATGTTCATTTGCTCCAAGTAATGGCCACACTGTGAAGGTTCATAGAATGACAGTCCCTTAAGCAATGATTAATTACAAAATAAATCGAAACCTATTGCATTTATTGACTAATAAGCTAAAGGTGAGCGTAGCAGGACAGGGCGCAGACACAGTATATGACTGCAATAAATCTTGACAGATTTGGGGTTTTACCTGTGAATGACACAGATGAAGAATTCTCATGAAAAATAAAATACAAATGAATTAACTGGCTGATACTACTGGGATATTTGCTTCCTGATTCTTTTCTGCTGTGACAGTCACAGCACCCTTGTTTTATCATCCTGCCAGAAACACATTGGCTTAGAAACATAGCACTGGTTGTGATATGTGAGACACCACAATATTTTCATGTACTCAGATATGGAAGTAACTAGAGGTGCTTGAAATTTTTGCAGCAAAAGAAATTTTTTGTTGAAAAAATGGCTTATTAAAAAAAAATCAAACTTCTTTGCTCTCCCCCAAACACCTCTCCTTGAATTTTCAGGTTTTCCTCCCTGCGTCCCCCAAAACTTCCTTTTTTTCCAGTGGAAAAAAGGAAAAACTGAAAATTTCAATTTCCAGAAACTTTGCTATAATTTCCAACCCCACTCCCTCCCCCAAAACAAAATATTTTTGAAAACTTTCAAACAAAGTGGATATGGAGCTGCTATGTAATAATCTAAGAATACTGATCTATAATAATTTTATGAATACTGTGTGTGACCTGGTCAGTGAGGCAAATTATCTGTATAACTATATGGGCTTCTTAAACTTTCCTATATGAATATATTAACCTAGGTTAATAGGGGGTGGTTGGAAAATCAAGCAGGAAAGAAACACAATGGCTCTAGACATATAACTTCCCAACAAACACTTTGGGGGCCTATCAGACAATAGCGTACTTCCAGGCTCCAGCCAGTGCTAGCGCTAGGAACTAAGGCTTGGTCTACACTTACCCCCCAATTCGAACTAAGGTACGCAACTTCAGCTACGTGAATAACGTAGCTGAAGTCGACGTACCTTAGTTCGAACTTACCTCGGTCCACACGCGGCAGGCAGGCTCCCCCGTCGACGCCGCAGTACTCCTCTCGTCTAGCTGGAGTACCGCAGTCGACGGCGATCACTTCCTGGTTCGACTTATCGCGTCCAGACAAGACGCGATAAGTCGAACCCAGAACTTCGATTGCCAGCCGCCGAACTAGCGGCTGGGTGTAGACATACCCTAAGAGATCAATCAAAGGGCAATAAACAATTACCTGTTTCCTTAGAAGGGAGATGATCAAAGAACTGGCCAAGATGTTTTCAGCATAATTTGCCCATTTGTCAAAGTTTACATGTTTTTCAGAGTCTTTCGACAAAGTTCCCCCCAAAACCAGGCACAATCCTGACAGGGCCCTGCCTGCCAGGTTTTAAAAACTGCCTGGTTTCCTGCCAGCCCTCCATGCAGACTGCCTTGGAGTCAGGGGCAATTTTTTGTTGGTTTGTCTTAACTCTGTTTCTCTCTGCTAGCTAAGTTTCTATGGACAAATAAATCATACTTGTTTTTGATGAAGCTGTCCTGAGTCACTGCCTTTCATACTAGTCACAAACTTCCAGAGAGGATTCTATAGTTGGACCCAAACATAGCTGTGCCATTTGATTAAATACAGTTCGTGAAACAGGGGGACTTGTAGCTTGTGATCCAGTCTAAAGTGAGGTGAGCTATGGGTTCTATTCTGGGAGAAATGCAGGTCGAGGCCTGTCACTTGGAAGGAGCCACGGGCAGATGGGGGAGAGATCATGGTGCAGTTCAAACCGGAATCAGAACACAAACATTTTTGGGGGGGAAATTATACATGGATTTTTTAGTTTTTCAACCAGCCCTTTAAATCACTCATTTCTAACACTACAGTATGTGGCAACTATTGGTAAATATTGACTTTTCAAGTCTGTGATTTCTAAGCAAAAAGGGTTTTTTAAATCAGTCCATTAGCAATCTCAATTTTCTATAAAGATGCACGGAAATTTCCATAGTTTGAAATTATCTGATTAAAATTATATTTACATTTTGTCTCCGTAGGTGGTTTGGATACGTTTTACACAGTTTGGGACATGCTTTTTAGCAGTGCTGAGCAATCACAACTCCAGCTGAAGCCAATGTGAGTACTCAGTACTTCTGAAAGTCAGCACCTGAGGTGCTTTTACTGTTGTCCCTTACAAAGTAAATACCAAGGTATTTTAAAGTAAATATCCACAAACAGTATGGGCCAAATTATACAAATCCATTCACTTTGGGATGTAAGTCAGGGCAGAATTGGGCCCTGTGCCTTATGATAGTATTGCTAGTGTTTTTGGCTGCAAGAGTGGATTATTATTTTTATAAACTTAGAAAGGAGCATGGAGTCCCTACAGGATTCATTTTTGTTACACTAGCATCATCTACATTTCTTTATAGCAAAGTCCTGGCTCTGCTCCCACTGACATCGTTAGCTAATCCTCCATTGACTTCAATGGGAGCAGAACTGAGCCCTATGTTAGAACTAGCTGCAGCTAGTAACAAGTAAAAGCAGTTATCTTACTTCATCTTTTTTATGCCAGTCAGTACCTGCATTGTTTTGCATTTGTTCTCCATAAGCATTTTCCATTGAAGTTTGTTTTCCACTTGAAGGTCCCCATTAGCTTGAAGTTCACAAGTACCTGATTTCAATTCTATGTCAATAGTATATTTTAACTCTTTTTCTGCCATGATGGACAACTTGTTTTCTCCTGGTATTTCCTTCAGCTGAGGCAGTTCGTGCCTGAATTCAATTTCCACTGTGACCTTTGGCTGGCACTCTGTTCTCACTTTCAGATGGGCAGACTTGCCATCTGTTTTGAGGGTACAGAGAAGTTCTGCTTGGCAGCCATCCCTCTGAATAGATCCAATGAGCTGCGACTGAACCGGGATATTGAGATCCTATCAAGAGACAAATATCCTTTTGGATTATAAATCCACTTTGAGACTCGGATTTCCTTTTTTCCCCATCAACTCATGGGACATGAGATGGTCACATTAAACAATTCAGAGACAAAGGCTGACGTCTTTATGAAGTCATTTACTCAGGCAAAACTGCCACTGCGGCCATTGAAGTGGGAGTTTTGTCTGAGTAAAGACTGAAAAAGGACTTTGGGGTTTGGCCCCTAGAATTTACAACTTCTTTACAGATAGTATAAAGTCTTTAAATTACAAAAATTCAAACTTCCTAGTTCCTCAGTCTAGGAAAGTTTATTGACCATCCCTTGTTTAATTCAGACCAGAACCATTTGGAATTTTGAGAATACACTAACCTGCATAAAAACAGGTAACAAGTTTTTGCAAGTGGGATTCTATGCAACCTGATGGAAAAATGGGAAAATAATTTTGCAAAACAAATTGAAATTCCAAAGCTACGTCTGCATGGTTTTCGTGGTTCAAAACTGACTATTTTATTCAAAAGCTTTCAGGAAAAATATTCTAAAATTTTAATATTTTGAATTTTAGTTCTTCCTCTTTCTGTCACTGAAGGCAACACAGTGAATGGTAGCAATTTTCTGCCTTTTTTCCTTTTGACACCGCATAGCCTTTTTAAAATAAGTTCATGTTGGAAAAATTAATGGCAAAAAAAAAATGAATAATTGGAAACAACCCTCAAAAAGCCCCAGGAATCATTCTTTCTTATACATTCAGTGGGGATACAAAGGAAAAACCAAAAATTTCAAAATTTCCGGTTTCAATGAAAATAAAACTGAACTCTTTTGAAAGAACCAAAACTTTTGACAACCTCTAATGGAGCATGGCGTTCAAACCTTGCCATGGTGACAACGGGCAATAATTTTCATCTAGTTCTATTCTGTAGGGGGCATCTGTCAACATTAGAGATCTGTGCAGTTTCCAGTGCCTCAATCCAGTGCTGTAGTTGAAGACTGAGATCTGCTTGCAAAGCAACACAGAGAGGCTTGAGGAACCCACCCATAGTGTACTCTAGCTAAATCCCCATTAGTCCTTACTTTATTGATCCAGAATCTCTTGTAAAAGCCACCCAGTCTACCTGCAGAAGCTGACATTCCATTTCTGTCTCCAACGTCCATTCAGTTTTATTCTGGGTCTGTAGATCTCCTCTAGCCTTGAGCTTGCATTCACCAGCCTGTAGCAACAAAATGCCTTCAACGGTGGATCCTTTAGCTGCAGAAAGTAGGACGGAGTTTTCGGCAGGCAGCCCTATGTCACTGAGCTGGGGGACTGAGTGCCTCAACATTCCTTGGAAAGCATGTTTGTGTCCACAGGAGCTATCTATTTGCACATCAGCTGTTTTGCCATCGCACTGGAGGTTTATTGTTAAGCTAATATTGCAGGTGTTCAGAATGAACGAGCCCCAAGTGACTAGAGTCTGAGGTAATCCCACCTTCTGTGATAGAAGAGAAAAGTTGTGTCAGAAAAATAAGCCACATATTCTTGTAGAAGCAACGGTCCTATTAATGTGATTCTAATTGATTACAAGGCATTTCTCCTTCCTGGTCCAACAAGCCCGGGGATGGGACCATTTAAGGCAGCCTGTGGAATCAGAAATGGCCTCAGGAATAAACAATACGATGAGAAAAACTCTTTAATAAATACTGGAGAGGAAAAGTAAATTTCCAAAATCCTAATCCTAGACAGAAAGGATATGCCTTTATTAGAGTCTGTCACGGAGTCCCTGGGCGATGCTCTGGAACTGCTCCTCACAAAGCCAGTCAGGACTTTGGGGAGCCTCCTCTCCCTTGGAGCAGACTGTCTTCAGGGCAAGAAGCTCACACGGCTTCTCCTTCCTGGGTCTGACCTTGGAGCCTACAGCATATGCCCCTCCGTGCGCTTCCCACAGCGAGTCCGCCCAGGCGGGGTCCTGGGGAAGCCAGAGGGTCCTGCACGCACCCCCACTTCGCAGTCAGATGTGTCTCTTAGCCAGCCAGTAAAACAGAGGTTTATTCAATGACAGGAACACGGTCTAAAACAGAGCTTGTAGGTACAGAGAACAGGATCCCTCAGCCGGGTCCATTCTGGGCCCCAGTGAGCCAGACAACCCTGTCTGCACTCCCCCCCCCCCCCCCCCCCGTCCCCAGCCAGCTCCAAACTGAAACCCCCGCCCGCCCCTCCTTTCTGGCCTTTGTCTCTTTCCCGGGCCAGGAGGTCACCTGATCTCTTTGTTCACATTTAGCTATTCCCTTGCAGGGGGGAAGGGCCCCAGCCATTTGTTGCCAGGATACAGATTGTCGGCCATTTATGCACACTGGAGATTTAAGAAATGCATAGGGGAAACTGAGGTACCCACACAGTATTCAGAGGAAACATTAAGAACAGTCCCACTTTGTCACAGAGTCTAGGAGGAAGGAGTTCTTTTAATTACAAAGTTGGGATTAAACATTATTTTATGGCAATGATAGTAACATCTGTCACTGTATTACTCCAAGCTCTCAACTTTAAAACATCTGCCTCTGCAAACACTAACTTGCTGCTACTACAGGACACATTTGATAACCAACCTGTCTCCTCCACCTCCAGGGCAAGATTCTGCCACCCTTCCATTGAGTAGCTTCTTACTCCAGGAGTAAGAGTGGCAGAAGGTGTTAAATATGGAGGTAATTCTCTGTGCCCACTCAGAACTTGAAACATAAAGGTTAAAACACTTTATAGAAAAGCAAATTGGATAACTACCTGAAGGGTGACACACGTATTCATCAGAGTAACTGTCCATTCTATATCTGTTTCATTGCTTGCTGGTCTCACTTCTCCATCTGCTTTGAAAGTGCACTGTCCAAGGACAATATCCAGCAGGCCCTTATACTTATCTCCTCTTACCGCTGACATCTTCAGTTGGTTCTCTTTGGCTATGCCCAGAGACTGAAGCTGAGGCAAGGAATGCTTGAAGCCAATCTCTACACTGTGCTGGAGGCCACAGGTGGCATGGAGGTGCAAGCGGATGAAGGCATCACCGGAAGAAACATGTCCAATGAAGTTGGCCGTAGAGTTGCTGGTGAACACTGACCCATTAAGTGAAACTCTTGCTGGAGTCTAAAACAGAGAAGAACTGTATTGCCAATTTTGTTGCCACGTATTACACTGCATGTTGTTTTAAAACGGCTCCTTGGAGAAACAGGGCCTGATTCTGCACCACGGTGCACATCATGTAATCATTTATATTTGTTCTAACAGGATGTAAAATGCTACCTAGCATCAGTGTGAGTGAAGAATTCTCATCTGGTAGTATTTCATACCCACTTTGCACAGATATAAATGATTACACAAGTAGAGAATCTGGCCCAGAGTCTTTATATTGAGTTTTCCCCTCACTTTCTTCATAATACTAATAAAATCAGACTGGAGTTAGCTCTAGCAATTTGGGGAGCTTGATATGGCTAGCTGCAACCAATAGGCTGAATTCTGACCTCACACAGGGTCAGTTTCCTATTGACTTCAATGAGAATTTGCCCAGTGTTAGTGGGAATTAGATGCACATAAATTAGGTTAGAATTAAACTATATTTGTCTGTTTGCTAGTGGCTAACAGAGGCTCCCACTGATGCTCATAGGGCACCTCTCCCTTTCTGATGCCAACTTTAATATCCTGTACGAATTGCTTGCTGTAAGCATATTTTTAATTAAATGTTCAGAAAAAGTTAGAATATAAGGAATGTCTTTCCAAAACTGTTCAAATTTTGCAAGTGTCTTCCCAAGCAAATTAACCAATAGGGGGAAAAAAATAGAGTTTGTACGAGAAAATTCAAACACTGTGAATTGCACTGGCAACACAGCTATATCAGGATCGGAACAATATCAACTCTGTTCATCTTGGCTAATGTGTTCAGATGAAAAACTTTGGGCATATTTGGTTTCTGTCTCTTTGAACTTACTGCCAACATTGAAATAACTGGTCTAAACTAATAACTGCTATATCGTTAAACAACAAATACATGATTTGTCAAACCTCAGCTCAGTTACAGTATGTCATCATGACCATTCAAAGATTCAGTAACTAAAAGGTCTCTTTCAGTTTTGCTTTTTTTAAAAAAAATAGTCCTATTTCCGCAATCCTTGAATTTATGTAGCCTAAAAAACGTACATGCTGATTTGGAGGGAGAGCCATAAACAGACCCCTCTATGGTTCTTTGGCTTTAACATCTAATTGCTAACCATCCCTAAGTGACCAAATGTAAAACTTCGTTTTCAGAGCGATCACATTAGGGGTGTGGATGTGTGGGGAATGGGGGTAGCTAATAGGTGAAAAGGCCAGGCAGGACACAAAATAAAAATAAATCTTTGCTAATGGATATTGCTTATGGCATGATCATACGACTATACACCTCTGTTGCAACCACGTGTTGTGTCATGAACTCAGACAGTAACTTGTGTGCTGATGGCTCCACGGTGCATGTAAAGGCAATGTACTGTCATTTTGCAAATTTTCATTGCTGTTGAGAAAGACAACAGAATGAAAGGACTGAATGCCTTTGTGTGACTGAGACCAGTGCTGGAACACCAGGCATTCTTTCAGCACAGTCATTAGCAGCTTTTTCATCTGATCAGTTTCAGGCCTGGTCTACACTAATCCCCCCACTTCGGACTAAGGTACGCAAATTCAGCTACGTTAATAATGTAGCTGAATTCGAAGTACCTTAGTCCGAACTTACCGCGGTCCAGACACGGCAGGAAGGCTCCCCCGTCGATGCTGCGTACTCCGCTCGCCGAGCTGGAGTACCAGCGTCGACGGCGAGCACTTCCGGGATCGATCCGGGGCACTTCCGGGATCGATCCGGGATCGATTTATCGTGTCTTAACCAGACGCGATAAATCGAACTCAGAAAACCGATTGCTTACATCCGGACCCAGATGTAAGTGAAGACGTACCCTCAGTGTTGTATAGATCCTCAGACACACTCCCTCTCTCACACCCTAATCCCTTTCCTAGTACACCAAAAGCTTCTCTCTGCTACCTTTTGTGAGATCACTGTAGCCACAGCACTATTACCAGGGAGTGATAATGTCAATGTGTTGATAAACCAACTAAGTGGTAGTGTCAATGAAAGAGAACCTTCCTTTGAATCTCCTGCCCTGCTCAGAATGGCAGAGGTTTCTTATCTGAACACCACTGCTGGAAATCCAACTACAGCACTTCACACATGCACAATTGGCTCTCTTGAGCTATTACAGTCTCTTTCTAGGATAGCTCTCCTTCTGTCATGTGCCTTCGCTGTGGGATGGGAAGAGGATGAAGAGCAGTGTTAGGCCTTGGCTACACTGGCATTGTACAGCGCTGCAACTTGCTGCGCTCAGGGGTGTGAAAACGCCCCCCCCCGAGCGCAGCGAGTACAGTTCCCCTTGGAGAGGTGGAGTACTTACAGCGCTGCGAGAGAGCTCTGCGAGAGAGCTCAGCGCTGGCGGCGCGACTACACTCGTGCTTCACAGCGCTGCCACGGCAGCGCTGGGAAGTCCTGAGTGTAGCCAAGGCCTTAGATAACACTGAAGGGCAGTTCACACTACAATCGATTTCATTAGGTTCTTTGCTTTTTTCATAAATGTTCATGGCATAAAAAGGGATGAACAGGGAATTTGGGGTAATCCAAACAATGCGATGAGTCCTCTTACAGGAGGCTTAAAACGTTCTCTTTTATCATTGATCCAAGGGCCACTGCTGGGGGAAAAAATTACTGATTCTGATCCAGCTCAGAATAGAAGTGGTGAAAGGTAAAAAGGGTAACAAACTGATATGTTTTTAAGGTTTATAATCTTGTGATTTGACAAAGACACAGACACTTTATTGGACCAATACAATCAGTAAGTTCACCAATTTGTATTTTCTCTGAGGCAGACATTCTCTTTCGCTCCCCCCACTTTTGCTCCTAGGTCCAACTTATTCCAGGTTGGTTGCTCAATAACAGAAGCGCTTTGCTCATGTTGAAGTAGTTTTTATTCCTTTCCACTTCTAGTTTACAGAGACGGTTGGTTTTTTGGACGTCACCCAGTAACATCAATGAGACTCTTTTGCTTTTGCGTGATCCCTATGTTTCATGATGCCACTGGACTTTTTTCCAGGCACAACCACTTGCACTGAGTTTTTATTTTAAATCATGCAACTTGTCTGTTGAATGATGCTCAGATATCACCTTTGAAACTGCACCTGTCTGGTCTGTAAATCCCCTGCCCCCACTATGGGCTTTAAAGTAGGTGTGTATGGCTGTACCAAGGATGCAAACGTATACCACTGGAATATAAATTGTGTTGATGCTTCTAACTCAGAATAAATCTCCCATCCAGCTGTGGCAAGACTGAACATTGACATGTGCATGTCCAGTTTTTGTTTAACAAGTGCTTTGACCTGCATGTCCCCGGTGCTATTAAAGGAGTGAAGATACTTGAAAGTGTGTACAAAACCTCCTGTTAACTCAGACCCATTTCTGCACCTACAACAACCTCCAATACTTGCTCTATGGGAACTAGGTCTTAAAACAGTACATTGTTGGTGGCAGAGTTCTGAGAACAAAACTTGTACCTCATATAAATGGCTGGCAACCTCTCCATTGCAATGACCAGAAAGCTGATTAGTGGTAGATTCTCCATTGCAATTGACCTGCAGGCATATCAGCATAACATGTTAATAAAAAATAAGAGTAAATCAGACTAAATACTGAGCAGATAGTTAAATGAGTAAGTGAAGCGATTGCTTTTTAGGAGAAAGAATAGGGAGACATAAAAACACCAGCCTAAGTTGAGAACAATAGATCTGACTCAAATAGATAAGTAGCAGGTCAGCTCTGAGGCTAAAGCTTGTCTTTAAACTGACCCCATTGGGCTAGATCATTTACAGGAGAGAGGAGAATGTTCTCAAACACCAGGCAAAGTTTATTTACTGAATATAGAGTGAGATCCATTCTTTAAAAAAAAAAAAAATCTATTGACCACACTGTGAATTTGACTTTGCCACGGTATTGCGGTATTTCCTATGTTTAAAATGAAAATGACATAGTAAATGTAATTATCACCAGAATAAATATTAATGTGTTTAATGCCACCTGTTGTACCATGGAACACATTTTCAAGTGATATCGATTGTAAGCTCTATGGGGCAGGAACTGTGTCTGCACAGTGCCTAGCATCTTCTGGCCATTACTGCAAATCTCAATAATGAACAGTAATAACAGCTGGACCCACAAAAACCAAGCCTGCCTCATCTGTAAAATCACATATTAGAACATGAGTTATTAGGCACCTGGTTACCTGATAATGATGTAAATGTGCTAATGAGTCTGCATTTTGGTTGGTTCAACCATTGTGTCTTGCTTTGAAAAATTAGTCCCATATGTCCTGCAGTGCTTAAAAGAACAATGGGATTTTGAATGACGTTCAGTCTTTTCGTGCTGGTCTTGTTTGGGAAAAAGGTCTCCCCCTTTTGACCCACTAGCTCTCTTCTTTACAAGATTTAAACCTGAGAAACAGAGCATGAAGGGCAGTGAGATATATCACATATACCCCAGGCAAGGATTTTCCTGCTAACCTGTACCACTGGTGGGACAACGTTAAGCAGTCCTCCCAGGTCATGGTGGAATGAAAGGGCAATTTCCACAGTACTGCTGGTGCTTTTCTTCTCCACTCCCACCTTGAAGTGTTCCTTCTCCACCCTGGTTGTTACCCCGGCAGCTATCCTCTTGCTGAAGTTCTAACCAGAAAAGAAACCAAATTGTGAGAAAAACCAAACAGCAACAAAATAGTAGCAGCTGGCAAACATGGAGAAGTTATTTCCACAGGCTCTGAAGACAACAGCCTCTGCTGAGAGCACCGTTCAGAATCATAATCAAAGGGACACTGCACAGGCTTGCTCAGCCTGGCTTTGTCTCCAAGATGGAATCTTCATGTAAGGCTAAATCCTGCAAGGTGCAACTACCTCAGCTCCTTTGGATCCCAATGTGAGTGGAGAGCACTCAGTACCGCAAAGAACCAGATCCCGACAGCTTGGCCGATTACAACGATAGTACCAGTAAGGGACTGAAAGAGCAATTGCACAGAGTCCTCTGGAGCAGGGGACTTCATGAATTTTACTAATGTTCCTTCCCATAGTATCCGAGTTCATCACTGACAAGAATGATCTTAGCCTAGCAACACATCTGAGTGGTAGGGAAAGTACTTTGCACCTCAGTTTCTCCATTTGTATAACAGGGGTTGAAGAGGTTGTGCTTTGCTCGCACAGAAAGTCTATGGCAATGGATTGTGATTAACCACAACACCGGAGTAGGAAATAACACAGGAGAAGAGGGAAAGCCCATGTTGATCAACAGCTTTGAAGGAAAGGGCCGTGAAGTTTAGCTCTTTAGAACAGACGTGAAAGGGAAATTGTCAAGGTTGGTTACAGCAGTGTTAGATCCATCAGTAGTGCTTTGGTTTGTGGGCACTCTCCTGACTGCAGCCTGTGTGCTGCACCATCCGTGTAGGCTCTGCCTACCTGCTTCATTTTTCTGTGCAATCAGGCTATACAAATGGACAAGATTCTACTCTTGTACAACAAGCTACTAACTTAAATCCAGAATTTAACATAGTTTATTTAGTTTAAATCCAGTCCAGATTTGAGATGATTGATGTAAAGTATGACTAAAAGCTGTGCAGAAATCTTTCTTCAATACAGCAATTCAGCACACACATGTGTAGGGATGTACTCTGCCACCACTAAATGCAGCTACCTCTGGAGTGAAACGCAGCATTTGATTAACAGCCCACAGGAACAATCTATAATTGTTTCACATGGTTTTGCCTGAAACTGAACTAATCACTCTTCTTACCCGGGCATAAGCTTTTGTGGGTAAAAAACAAAAAAAACCTCACTTCTTCAGATGCATGGAGTGAAAATTACAGATGCAGGCATTATATAATGACACATGAAGAGAAGGGAATTACCTCACAAGTGGAGAACCAGTGTTGACAGGGCCAATAAGATCAGGGTGGAGGTAGTCCACTCCCAATAATAGATGAGGAGGTGTCAATTCCAGGAGAGGCAAAGCTGCTTTTGTAATGAGCCAGCCATTCCCAGTCCCTGTTCAAGCCCAAATTAATGGTGTTAAATTTGCAAATGAATTTTAATTCTGCTGTTTCTCTTTTGAGTCTGTTTCTGAAGTTTTTTTGTTCAAGTATAACCACTTTTAAATCGGTTATAGAATGTCCAGCGAGATTGAAGTGTTTGCCTACTGGCTTTTGTATGTTACCATTCCAGATGTCCGATTTGTGTCTATTCTTTTATGTAGGGACTGTCCGGTTTGGCCAACGTACGTGGCAGAGGGGCATTGCTGGCACATGATGGCATATATAACATTAGTAGACATGCAGGTGAATAAGCCCTTGATGGTGTGGCTGATGTGGTTGGGTCCTCTGATGGTGTCGCTAGAGTAGACATGGGGATAGAGTAGGCAACGAGATTTGCTGCAGGGATTGGTTCCTGGGTTAGTGTTTCTGTGGTGTGGTGTGAAGTTGCTGGTGCGTATTTGCTTCAGGTTGGGGGGCTGTCTATAAGTGAGGACTGGCCTGCCTCCCAAGGTCTGTGAGAGTAAGGGATAGTTTTCCAGGATAGGTTGTAGATTGTTGATAATGTGCTGGAGAGGTTTTAGCTGAGGGCTGTACATGATGGCCAGTGGTGTTCTGTTATTTTCCTTGTTGGGCCTGTCCTGTAGTAGGTAATTTCTGGGTACCCATCTCGCTCTGTCAATCTGTTTCCTCACTTCCCCAGGTGGGTATTGTAGTTTTAAGAATGCTTGATAAAGATCTTGTAGGTGTTTGTCTCTGTCTGAGGGATTGGAGCAACTTCGGTTGTATCTTGTGAGGTAACTCCCTTCTCTTCATGTGTCATTATATAATGCCTGCATCTGTAATTTTCACTCCGTGCATCTGAAGAAGTGGGTTTTTTACCCACGAAAGCTTATGCCCAAATAAATCTGTTAGTCTTTAAGGTGCCACCAGACTCCTTGTTGTTTTTGTGGATACAGACTAACACGGCTACCCCCCGATACTTGTCTTCTTACCTGGTAATAGCAGGCACCTTCTACAGTAAAAGGGATCCCGTGTTTTTTTAGCTTTGTGATGTTGTGCTTCAAACTTGCAGTTAGCTGAGACTTAGGAGATTCTAAGGATAGTCTCTCAACTCCAAATGCAGCAGCAATCCTTTCGCTGCCACTCTGTAAGGCTATAGTAACAGTGTGGTTGGCAATGACATGGTCGTACATGGCAGTGATAGTGCCAGCTATAGGAAATCCTATTGACAGATAGAGCCAAATCAGAACAAATGATGCACAATGCTGCAAAGAAGCATTCAAGGAATTTTCAGTACCATTGAGTGGCAATTATCTATAAAATTTTATAAACAGAGAAATTGATAGTTTCTATCACTTTTCATAATAATAGCCTAGCTTTTTTTAACATTACTATAGATCAGTGAGTTGCAGCTTCTACTATGTATTCACAATATGGACTGATGGGAATGAAACCCCCTATAGTGTTACAGGATTAACAAGGGTAAATGTAAAGATATTACTTGGATTTGGAATGTATTTTTGGAAACCAAGGGATCATCTTTCCTAAATAAAGGGATGAATGATTCTTAACCAGGGGCGGCTCCAGGCACCAGCGCACCAAGCACGTGCATGGGGCGGCAAGCCGCAGGGGGCGGCCTGCCAGTCGCCATGAGGGCAGCAGTCAGGCTGCCTTTGGTGGCATGCCTGAGGGAGGTCCGCCGGTCCCGCGGCTTCGGCGGTGGGTACGCCAAAGGCACAGGACCAGGGGATCTCCCACAGGCATGCCGCTGAATCCGCGTTACCAGCGGACCTCCTGCAGGCATGCCGCCGAAGGCTGCCTCACTGCCATGCTTGGGGCGGCAAAATACATAGAGCTGCCCCTGTTCTTAACTCTCCTGTTCTGTATAGTCTTTGAGAATCTATACCTGGGGCCTTGCTGGGACATTCCAAAGAATTCTGCATGATAGGAGTATGTTGTGTGTAGCTCCACCATACTGCATTTAGAAAGTTTCAAAAAAACAAAAACAAAACAACCAAACCAGACTATTCAAGAGCAGAGGGCTAGGTGCATTCAGCCGGCAGGGAGCTATCAAAACCTACATACCAGAAAAGGCTAAAACATTTGTTTTTACTCAGCAAATGGATGCTTAGAATATCTTATTCCACAAGGTGGTTCATTCAAAGACAACTGGAGTTTTACAAGAAATTATTCTAACTTGTCCTAAGGGAAAACATGTACAAAAATGATGGACATGCATTAAGCAGGGAATATACATAAGCGTTTAAATTACTCTAATAGGTCTTGCATCCATTCTGTTGCATTTTCTTAAGAATATCAATAAGAATGTTGCTGAAGTTAAGGAGATGGGGCAAATTTGGCTCTGGAGTAAGCAAGTGCAACCTCACTAACTCCAAATTGTTTGGGTTTGCACCCACTTACACTGAGGTTAAATTCATGTTTTACCATGTTTTGTTACACACCAATTTGATTGAGGCGTAGTTTTTTCATACCTGCATTTTTTAAAGAGCTGATGTTATGTATGAGAGTCCCAGTGATTCCTCTCTGTTCCTGATTCATGACATTGGAAACATCTACATAGAGAGCTTGCTCATCCACCTGGAAGCTGGCTAGACCCCTTTTGATCCCTTTATTGAGCTCCAGGTGTCCTTTTAACTTTGCTTCCATTGGGATTGCCTGGCTGCTGTTCTGAGTCAATGTGAAAGTGATATTGTGCAGGCTGATATTCCCAAATACATTTCTGTTCCTGAGATGCAGCCCATACAGTGCCTTGTTGATCATCACACTAATGTTACCTGTAAGGGACAGAAACAATAATTACACAGAGCCCTTTGGGTTGGGAAATTGGCATGAGAGGAGAAAAAATAATTAGATTTGACAAACATGAACAATAACCCTTTAATTTAATATAGACAGGAATTAAATGCATTTCCATTAGCTGTAATAAATTATTTAGCTCATTCCAGTTAGGGAATCTGCTTACTGAAAGAGAGAGACAGCAATTAGTCAGCTAGTGGAAATACCTTTTGATGAGAGCACATTATATTATAATAGAATTTCTGAGGCAATTGCTATTTGCAATAGGTTTCTTCTTAAAAAGTTGCTTGATATTTAAGAGCCAAACTGTGCTTTTCAAGGCCTGGGATTGAGTAAAATGCATCATCCAGGGAAACTTGGTGAGGGATTGTGACACAGGAAGCACACAGTGCCCCAGAGGCACATTGTACTAGGCCAGTGCATGGTGTGGGATGGGACAGCCCCCATGTACACAATCCCTCCCAGAGCTCCGCAGCACCCCTGTCAGCTACTCCTCCATTGCACTCCACAGACCCAGCCCAGAAGGGGACGGAGCTATGGGCCAGCCCCTGCCCCCCCTTCTCCCCCCCCCCCGTATTTTCTGTAGAGATGGTTGGGAAATGTTATTGCTCCCAATGAACAATGGCAATGAAGAAAAACTTGTTTCATTTTCCCCAAATTTTCTTCAAAATGTTTTGGGGTTTTGTCAAAAAATGAAACCTTGAAAACCCAAAAATTTCATTTTAAGCCTGAGTTTAAAATGTTTTCCAATGAAAACATGTACATTTTCAGTCAAAATAGAAACCTTTTAATGAATTTTGTTTATTGCCAATTTCCATTAAAAAAAAACCAATTTTGATCACCCAGTGGACAGCTGTTCACATCACAAGACACCATCACCATAAATACTAAATTTATACTTTCTGTTTTAGGCTGCTAGTAGGTTTTAAATGTGCCAAGACACCACAGTGGGGGATGTCTTATACTTGAATAATAATAAATCTCCTTTGGTAGTTGCATTCTTAACTATCCCCTTACAGTAAAGCACATAGTGAGGAAGCACCTTCATGAATGTTGTTCTTGCGCTTCAGAGATCCATTCAGAGAAAAGAGCTGTGGTACCACCTTCAAACCTCCAATGTTGTGTTGGACTTTCCCATTCAGGGACAGGACAAGACCAACTTTCTGCTCCATAGCTCCCACAAAATCTAGATGAAACCTGTTCTCATTTCGCTTCAGCTCAGAAGATAATAGAAGTCTAAGAGGGAAAGGAACAAACACAAGTTGCTCGCACACCATTATCAATAAAGATTTGTTATCAGTGTTCAATATTTAACGTCACTCTACCTCTGTTAATGTAGGGCAAAACTGACCCTCCATTTTGCACAATGGCTGTTTAGTGTATATTCTGCGCTTATGCTAGACAAGAGTAGAACATGGAAAAAAAATCCACGAAACAGGTCAGAGAACAATTTTTCCTTCACTTAGATTTTGGTGACCATAAACACACCAGACATAAGCAAGCTTCCTTCTTATTATTTTCATTTGCTTAGAGCAGATTTCACTGCTTCTCACTAGAAAAAAGAATTCCAGAGGTTACCCTCAACAGGTCAAATTTTAAACAAGATTCAAGGCTGCTCCTATTTATTTATACTCACATCTGTGCGGGCAACAGAGCCTGTTTGGCATCCTGCTATTGGCTGATTGCTCACCACACCCCTCCCCAATGCACAAGACACTCTTTGTTTATGCAAAAATGAACACACAAGCTGAAATTGTGACCCAATGTACTCGAAGAACTTTTAAAATCTACTGTGGAATACATTTTAAAATCTTGTAAAACTAGCTAATTTTACCAACATGGTCTAGTGCAGGGGTAGGCAACCTATGGCACGCGTGCCGAAGGCGGCACGCAAGCTGATTTTCAGTGGCACTCATACTGCCCAGGTCCTGGCCACCAGTCTGGGGGCTGTACATTTTAATTTAATTTTAAACGAAGCTTCTTAAACATTTTAAAAACCTTATTTACTTTACATACAACAATAGTTTAGTTATATATTATAAACTTACAGAAAGAGACCTTCTAAAAACATTCAAATGTATTACTGGCACGCGAAACCTTAAATTAGAGTGAATAAATGAAGACTCGGCACATCACTTCTGAAAGGTTGCCGACCCCTGGTCTAGTGTATAATGAGGAAAAGGACTTGTAGTGTCTGATTGAGAGTGCACGGGCATTGGAGCTCCCATAAGAACATATACTCGAAGTAGTCATTTCACATTTTTCTCTCCCGCCCCAATGAAATTTTGCACAAAATACTTGGATTTTTGTAAAAATGTAAAGCCTCTTTCAGTGGATAATTTTACATTTGAGATGTTTGAAAAAAAACTGCTGGAGGAGTGAGAGGTGGTGCTGGTGCCAGTGCCCACTAAAACAGTGTTTCTCAACCTTTTTGATAGCAGGGACTGTCTTGCTGCCTTCCTAAACTGTGTCAGGGAGATCTCAGCGACCGGCGCCAGTCCACGGACCAGCTGTTGAGAAACACTGCTCTAAAAGAGACATGGTCTAATGCAGAGGTGGACAACCTGTTGCTCCGGAGCCAAATGCGGCTCTTCAGAAGTTAATATGCGGCTCCTTGTACAGGCACTGACTCCGGGGCTGGAGCTACAGGCACCAACTTTCCAATGTGCCGGAGGTGCTCACTGCTCAACCCCTGGCTCTGCCACAGGCCCTGCCCCCACTCCACCCCTTCCCGCCCCTGAGCCTGCCCTCACTCCTCTCCCTCCCCCACAGAGCCTCCTGCACGCCACGAACAAGCTGATCGCGAGGTGCGGGGAGGGAAGGGGAGGCACTGATTGTCGGGGCTGCCGGTGGGCGGGAGGCGCTGGGAGCAGGGGGGGCGGAGCTGATGGGGGGTTGCTGATGTATTACTGTGGCTCTTTGGCAATGTACATTGGTAAATTCTGGCTCCTTCTCAGATGCCGGTTGGCCATCCCTGGTCTAATAGATTAAATCTAGGGCTTGGAGTTAGACAAGCTAGAGTGCTAATTCCATATCTGCCCCTGAAGATCCTTCACAGAACTTTTCAGATATTGGTTAATCATGATGGCTCTCACGATCCCCCTAGTGTAGCTGCTAAATATCAATTCTGCTTCATCTGACAGAGGACAAAAAATGAGAAAAACAACTGATAACCTAACATGAAGAACTAATTTACTCACAGGGAATTTTTCCTGTTCTCTCCGTTATCTATGAACAATGATCTAAGAAAGCAACCAGTAGAGAGAGGGTTACAAGATTGTTTTAGTGTTTCAAAAACTTAAAAAGCAAAATACTCAAGTAGCGAGGAGAGTGCATGGAACATCGCCTTCTCAATGGCTTTCTGCACATGTCAGAATGCAAACGGCCATGCTTAAAAGAAAGAGCTCAGATTTATCTTCAGAACTCCTTTTAAGGAAGGTTACTACTACGCTGTTTTCTTTACCTTGATGGAGATACTTTGCCCATTAGCTGCAGCTGTACAGACTCTGGTTCTGTCAAAATTGCCTGATGCAGGAGAGCGCTCACTCCAATAATCCTGCTGTTCTTTCTGGTCTCCTTGCTCATATCAACCTCCAGCAGCACCAGATCCTTTCCACTGGAACGAAGGTAAAGTGATCCATTGAGACTGTTCTCACCATAACTCTTAACAGCTGCATGGGCCTACACGCAGGGGAAAAGGAGAACAAGACATCTGCTGCATTAGGAAACTCAGATGACACATGACAAAACAGTGCGGTGTCACATTCAGCAACCCTACTGCTGAGAGCAATGTACAGGACGAGGGTCTCAGAAATCCCTGGTTAAAATCTGACAAACAGTACTAAAAGAAAGGCTGGAGTGATTTCCCTGTCTCTGATGAAGTCATCCTCTCTGGACACTGCTAAATCATTATCCGTGGAGCTCAGAAAAAAATACTTCAGAGCAACAATTGGTTTTGCCTTTGGCATTTACTGAATAGATATTTTCAATACAGTTTCCCACTGAAGGATAGTACAAGATCTTCGTCAACACAACAATTTCAAGTTACACAAGCTGGACACTGGGCTAGACCACCAGTTCACTCAGGACATTTTTGAGGAACCAAATATAAATACCTCCAGTGAGGTGCTATCACTTATTCCTTGGTTATGTGAAAGCATTTTTGCTTAAATGGGAAAATGGATAGATTCCCTAACCACTCACTCCACTGTTTTAGTCATATAATCCTGGTATGAGGGATTTATTACAGGCTAGAGGGGAGCCCCAGATCAAAATATTGGTAGTATTTCATTGGCAACAGTGAATGTAAATGACAGAAGTTAGAAGGAAGAGACCTGTTGGATCATTTAGTCCATTCCCCTGTCAGAACAGATAAGGGTACTAGAGGAGGTAGGAGAGAATGATTTAATAAGAGACTACATATGATCTTAGCCAGGGAGTTACTGCCATGTCAAAGCTTTACATACTTACGTGAACTTATTGTACATCTGCTTGCAATTAGAATGAAGCATTGTTTTTTTAAAAGAAAAGTCCGCTTCCCCCGTGTTCTAGGGAGTTTGGCTTCATTATTGTATTTGTATGATATGATACTACCATATTTATTGCTTTAAGGAAAAACTTTTTCTGTGCAAGGCAGGAGGGCCTTTTGGCAAGATAAGCACATGCACTGCTTTGGAACTGCCATATGGCCCTACGCTGACTAATCAGACCAGATGCAAGTGATTGGCCATATCTCACTCTGTTTGGAACATGTAATAGGAGGAGGAGAAAATACCATCCTCGATTGTGGTGATTAAAACTGACTTTCCTGAGCAATCACCAGCGAGGGCCTCCCCTTTCCATTGTGTATCACTCCTCAAAGACCCTGTGCTGCAGCCAACCATGCCAAGGTAAGTTGCACCCAGATCCTTCCGCAGCCTGTTCACACTGCTCTGTGAAGCAGCAGTAACTCCAGAGCAAACTGAAACATATTTCCCCTATGGAGCCTGAGCTCTTCCAGCTCCTGGTAGTATGGGAGAGGAAGACAAAGGCTAGAATTTGTGGCCTCAGCTAGGATGGTCAAAATACCGTTACTAAACTGCACAACCAATCTTAATAAGTGGGGTGTGGGCTACTGATTCAAATGTCCTGGATATGGAGTGATTGATACTGTACATTCTACAGCTGACTCCAGTGACTAAGTTACCACCACATGGGTTTTGTGTTTGGTTTGCTGAACTAATAATAAAACTGAAAATAGTCAAAGAGGGAGAATGAAAAGAGATAAAGAGAAAACATACCCCAATTAAAATTTCAGTTAAAATTAGTTTGTACCTGAAAGCTTTGGGGGAATTTTGACTGATATGGATGAGTAAACCGGGAAGAAAATCCAAAGTGAGTATTTGATCCATTTAGTTGAGCAATGAACTGTTGGCACAAGAGAAGTTACACAGCTGAAATGAAGAATTATAGTGAAATTCCAGCATAATTTAACTTGAGTTTCATGATAATTTACTCCAAAGCTTTCTGAATTTTAGCCAAATCCTGCTCCCTGTGCATGTGTACGGATACACACACACACACACACTTTTCAATACCTATTTAGGGGTATGTCTACACTGCAGAGTTAAATCAAGCTTTTACTCTGAGAGTCCCTGTAATTCCCTTCCCATCCACATGAAAACCCTTCTCACCTAAGTTTGATGCGTTTACCCCCAGCCAGGTCAGCTAATATGGGTTTTAGGCTAGAGCTTGGATGCTGATTTCACTTGGACACAGAAAATTGGGTAAAGCTTGCAGAGTTGCTGCTCCCACCTGGGCTAGGTTAACCCAGGTGCTGATCACCTGAATACACTCTGCAGTGAAGACATTCACTTAGGGTGAGGAAACCTCCCAGCCCAGGTCAAGAGACTCGGGATAGCAAGGCTTGCACTAACACTCTAAAAATGACTGTGTAGACAGCGTTTTGAAGATGCGTCTCAGGCTTGAGCGCAGGCTCTGAAGAGCTTTGTGTGGCTCAAAAGCTTGTCCAATAAAAGACATTACCTCACGCACATTGTCTCACTAATATCTGGGACCGGCATGTCTAGAACTACACTTTTCTTAACATGGGTCCATCTCCTAGTTCTGAGAAAAATATCCACCTTCCTGGCATTGATACTTTCAACTAGCAAATCTTTTCTGGGAGCATTTTATGTTTAGTGTGTTGCTAAACACTTGGAAGGTTCTGGAGTTTAGGCATCAGAGGTATTTTATTTGAGGATAAATTCCTCATAGCAAGGGACGTTCTGTAAACTTTCCAAAGTTTGCGATCTCTGAAATAAAAACAAATTCCAACTGTGCACAGCAGTCAAGCCACAATCTAACCACAGAAACCTAGCTAGGTGCTCTGGGTTTCTCCCTCTCCACAACAAGACTCATCTGACTCCCCATGAACTGCATGGCCTTCTGAATGTTGTGCTCCCCTCCCTGAATGCTGTTCCCCAGGAATTTATTGTACAAAGTTAAACCAGGTCATATAAACTTTTCAGAGAGTTAAATTCACTCCTATGGAAAGAGCCAATACAAGACCTTGAGGCCATGAGCAACACACTGGTTTTATGCTCACCCTTCACAGGAGTGAATTAATAAGCAAGTGCATCACAATAACTCCAGTTTATGCAACGGAACCACAATAAATAGGAACCTGACCTGTGAAGAATCATTTCTGTTGATGGTGGCTTTTATATTCACACCATAGTCAAAGACTTCCAGTTTGGTTTGCGCAGAAAAGAGTTCTCCATTCAGGGCCAGTGCTTGTGGAAACTTGAGCTGTTCAAGTAAAACACAATTTGTGCATAATGGCTATTTTTATACAAGTTAACTTTCGTCATTTTCTATCCATACGTTTAATGCAAAGTAAGTGTGTGTGTGTGTGTGTGTGTGTGTGTAGATAAAACTTTTACTCAATACATACAATGACCCCTTCCCTGGTTGAAAAAAACCTCCTAATTATTACAATTAAAAAAAACAAATGATCAGTATATTTTGTCCTGTGTAAACACAGAAAAAAATGAATATTAACTAGAACTCTCCAAACCAAAAGAATGTTAAAGAAAAACAATGGAATGTACATTGAGAGATTACTGAATGGCAGAAGGGAAGAGACACAAAGAAAGGGGAAACTGTATCTTGGTAGGGAGGAAATAATTGTTCTTAGTAAGTACGGAAGGTGTCAGTGTCAGTGCAAATACCTGGAACGAGTGAGTCATGTCCATGTGTAAGAAATGTCTGAAATGCGTCTCACTGGATTTGTTCTGGTACTTGCCCAGAAGCCTGACGGCATCTTTCTTATTGACTTTCAGAATAGCTTCGATCTCATGCTTTGCCTGTGTGTTGAGATTTGAGTTGTTAGAATTAGCAAATCAAGCAGAATATTAAATAAATAAATAAATAAATTAATGGAGATATCCCATCTCCTAGAACTGGAAGGGACCTTGAAAGGTCATTGAGTCCAGCCCCTTGCCTTCACTAGCAGGACCAAGTACTGATTTTGCCCCAGATCCCTAAGTGGCCCCCTCAAGGATTGAACTTACAACCTTGGGTTTAGCAGGCCAATGCTCAAACCACTGAGCTATCCCTCCCCCCAATTAGCCCGACCTATTATGAAATGTGAGCGATATCCCGTTAGTAGGGAGCTGTTGCATTATGACTCTGAAGAAACTTGCTGAGCAGCATAGGAAAAGTAAACTAATTTTGGTAATAAAGGTGAAATGACTTGCCCAAGGCCAGGATTTGAATTTACAACCTCCTGCTTCCCAATGCAAATTCTTAATAATAATAATGCTTAACATTAATTTACTCAGAATATACCTGTTCCTCTAACATGGAAGAGACACCTCCCACACAGTAGCGTAGCTAGGGGGGGAGCAGGGGGAGCGGCCGCTCCCCCACTGAGCACATTCCTCAAAAGTGGTGCCTTTTTAATGTTTACACTCATGCAGGGATGACGTTACGGGCTGAGATCTTGTGTTCTGGAAGCGCCTCCTTGCTCACAGCTGTCAGCTCGCAGTGCAGCGGGTGCGCCTGTCCCTTTAAACCGTGCGGGAGAGGGCGTTCCCATGGTGCCTAGCGGTGGGCGGCTTGGATTTTAAATCCTAGTGGCAGGCAGCGAGAGCGGGGCGAGGTCAGTGCAGGGCTGGAACTGCGCGGGGAGCAGGGCAGGGTTCGGGAGCCATGGGCAGGGGCAGGATCACGAGCGCGGTGGCCAGGAAGGGGGTGAAGCTGCCGGGCGTGGCGAAGCCCAGGAAGGTGGCTGGGGCTGGGGCACTCACCGACAGCAGCACGGGAAGTGGAGCAATGTGGCCCCAGCCTGCTCCACTCTGCCAGCTCCCAGCCGTGTCGCTCCGCTTCCCGCCGCTGGTGAGTGCGGGGAGGTTGGGGAAAGGGGGCCCCACTGCACTCACCAGCGGCGGGAGGCGGGGCGACGCGGCCCCAGCCCGTTCCGCTTCCCTTGCCCTTGCCCCTACCCCAGCCGTGTTGCTTGGGGGGGTTGGGAGGGCTGGGGAAAGGTCCCCCCTCCCCTGCACTCACCGGTGGCGGGAAGCGGAGTGCCGTGGCTGGGAGCTGGCGGAGTAGAGCTGGCTGGGGTCGGGCTGCTCCACTTCTGCCGCTGCCGGTGAGTGCAGGGGGGGATCCCTTCCCCCAAACCCCCTCCCCTGAGCGACACGGCTGGGGCTGGGGCAAGGGAAGCGGACAGGGCCGGCTCTGACTTTTTTGCCTCCCCAAGCCAAAAAAAAAAAAAAAAAAAACAGGGCGCAGGGCGGCTGGACCTGGAAGCAAAGCAGAAAAATTAAAATAAACCTCAGGGCACAGGGCGGCCGGACCCGGAGGCAAAGCAAAAAAATAAATAAATAGGGCAGCCGTGCCGCCCTAGGATTGGACAGGATGCAACCCCTTAAAAACTGCCGCCCCAAGCACGAGCTTGCTTGGCTGGTGCCTGGAGCCGGCCCTGGAAACGGAGCAGGCTGCTCCCCGTCTCCTGCTAATCCCCTGGGCCACTCTGGGCCTGCGGGCCCCCAAAAGTGCCCCCCACAGCTCCTGCCTCCCAGACCCTCCGGGTCTTCGGCGGTGGGACCTTCAGTGCCGCCGAAGAAACTCGGAGCGAGTGAAGGGCCGGCCGCTGAAGACCCGGGGCGCTGCCGGGTGAGTAAAAGCGCTGCAGCGGGTGGCGCCTTTTTTATTTTTTATTGCTCCCCCTGTTCCGTCCACCTGGCTACGCCACTGCTCCCACAGCAATTCACTTTGTACTTCAGCTTCCCCACCTACATTCTGGTAGATGCTGTGAGCAAATTGACAAAACCAACCAAACTTCTAACTAGATCTGGTAGATCGTAAATTGCTGTGTTATACAGACATGTAATGGAGCCTCTCTCATGGATTAATCTTAACATAAAGTTTACTTACACTTTGGTGACATCGGGTTAAGGCACATAGTTCGACATTTTTGGGGAAAATCTTGCTGTTATAAGGATGAGCTAAGCCAGCACAAATCTAAAAAAATGAGGAACAAAAGCTAGAGATATGAGTTACAGTAACCTGTTTATTTTCTGACTGTGTCACTATTCAAAGTTACAGGCAAATTCTCACATCAGGTATCACTCACATAGGGATGTTCAGCTTGGTAGCCAAGAGTAAAGGTTTGAACTGATTCATCCAGCCCATTTATCAAAATTTTAGTCTCCAAGAAGTAGTGTTTTTGCTTTTTGTCTACAGTAAATGTCTCCTGGAGAAGGAAGCTCTGGGGAATGTGCAGTTTAAATGGATGTCTGGGACAAAACAAAAAAGTAAAGATTTTAAGGTAAAACCACAGAGGAAAAAAAAACAAAACAGTTTCTTTCTTCAGCTGAAACTCCTAGACTTTCAATTGCAAACATCTCTAGTGTCAATTATTGAAACAAAGCAAGCCTACATGAAAGGTTGAAAAGTTACAGGAAGGATCAAGAAGGGAAAAGAAATGTTTGAGAATGGTACCTGTATAAACATGCTAGAAGGACACATACTATTAGAGTTTCATACTAGTTCAGAATGTAAGCTTTTGGGAGTTTTGTATATGTTCAGAACCTAGCGCATTGGGCTCCTGATCCATGACCAGGGCTCCCAGGTGTATGGGAATACAAAGAATAAATAATAATACATAATAATAGCGTTACACATTAGCCAGCATTTCTGATGGAAAATTCCTACCCTAGACCACATAACATACCCAACATCTTCTAGCATTTAAAGTAACTGAAATGATGTTGGGTTCTATGGGTATACGAAGGACAGGCACAGAGCACCTGAATCAGTGCCTCATGTTTCAGGGGGGTAGCTGTGTTATTCTGTATCAGCAAAAACAACGAGGAGTCCTTGTGGCACCTTAGAGACTAACATTTATTTGGGCATAAGCTTTTCTAGGCTAGAACCCACTTCATCAGATGCATGGAGTGAAAAATACTATAAGCAGGTATAAATATAAAGCACATGAAAAGATGGGAGTTGCCTTACCAAGTGGGGAGTCAGTGCTAACTAGGCCTCATGTACCACTCACACAGGGATTTTATGTATCTTGCAGCTGAAGTGTGTGACTGTCAAAGACTCCAGGAAGATATGGATGCACAATTCCCATTGATTTCTAATGGGAACTGACCCTCCCTTATCCTTCAGACAACTCTGAAAATCTCAGCTAACAAGTACATTTTTTGTACTCTGTAGAAACAATATAACTTGCATCGAATTCACTGAACTAATTTGGGTGCCCCAGGAAACAGATGTTCAGCTAATCCTCAGCCCAGGGCGCCGTTTATTACTTAGCTGCAGCATTTTATAGACTTCTCTGAATAGATTTAGCTGAAAGCTTAGGAAGGAGACATTCACTTTTATAATCTCACACTGGACTAAGTTCACGCACAGCAGGACAGCTGACCTCATTCCTCATTTTTCATTCGTGTAGTTTTTCCACTACTTAAACAGCCTCTTATACAAACGTTTGGCAGCTCCTAAGGGATCCTGGGTAATTGTAGCTCCTCCTGACCTTCCTGGACATTGAGAATGCTCAGCACCTCTCTGGGGATGGACAACAGCCCACAGACTCAAGCCCTGAATTTCTGTAGGGTCCCTGAAATTACTGAAATTTCAGTAATGACACATCAAGGGGCAGGTTCTAGAGTTGGCCAAAATCAAGAGACTGTAAATTCCTTCCCAGAAGTAAATGAAACACATTCCCAAACTAAAACGACATGTTTTAGTGGGGATATATTTGACATTAAGGCAGTCATATTGTTCCCTAGGTAATGGGAGAAAAATAGGCACCTACGTGGCTCAAGAAATCAATTATAGGTGTTAGAACCATCACCACCTGAAGTCTGACCATCTTGTGACTTTTCTGTGGTCTTTGTGAAATGAGCTGATGCTCTCTGTAGAGTTCCTAATGAACAGATGTCCATATTACAAAATTAGCTATTGCAATTAGCACCCTGGTTAATAGTCTCACCAGAGAATGGATACAAAGACTCAGTCTATGTAGTGCAAAGTTAGGCATATAGGCAGAATGGGGACTTCAGTCCTGTCAAGCCCAGCACCTTTCACAGGAGCACTAAAACTCACATTAAAATTTAAGGTAAAACATTCTGTGAAGATATGAAAAAAGTGACAACACCTGATATGGATGGTTCCACGTTTCTGGTAGAACATCTTATCTTTCTTCAGCTCTTCTATCTGACCCTCAAGCTGCAGCACAACTGGCAGACTCTTATGGTCTGTCCATAGAGCCTTCATGGAGAGGTTAGTCTTTTTAGGCTGCAGTCGAAGTAGCAGGAGAATCAGGGTAGCATTGAGAGAGGAGAGTTGAGTCAGATTTGCTGGACCCGTGGTGTAGAGATGACTAGTCACAAACCGCAGAGTGAACCAGGCTGCAGCGAGGTTGTTGTCTTACAGGACAAGTCCATTCCTGCTCCCCATAAAGCCAACAACAAAGCTCCCAATGGCCCAATTCTGATCTTATTTACACCAATTTCAACACTGGTATAACTCCAGTGACTTCACTGGAGCTACTCCCAATTTACACCAGTTTAAGTGATGTTAAGATCTGAACCAATGACTTCAGCAGGATCAGACAAATTAACTGTTTTTAATAAATTAACTGTTATTAATAAATCAATGGCTGTTATTGTTTTTCAGTGGAGATGCTCATCACATTTGTACAGCAAAACATTGGGCAAAAATGAGAGGTAATTGCTACGAAACGTATCACCATTGTACAGCAAAGTAACCAAAAAAGTACCATAAAGTACAAATATTTTTATGTAGGATTTAAAAAAAATCAAAGTAAATTTGAAAGTATTGCTTTTATATCATAATACTACTGGAGGCAATAAGGATCAATCCTGCAAGATGCTGAGCAGCACTGACTCTATCTGAGCTCGACTCTTCACAGGATCGGGCTTACAATAGTGATTAAATTTAGGACGCAGTGTCTTGTAAAAGCAACGCAAGCATAAAAACTCTGAATTTGCTGCCTACTGTGTATGAGTCCTAAAACTTGAATGCACAGTAGTTGCAGAATATGCATGCATTCAATACTGCACAAGATTCCATTTAAAAGAGCCATCCGGCTGCAACAGATTAAAACCTGTTCCTTTCTGTGAAGAACAAAAGGAGTTATCTTTGTGGAAATACAAACATGAAGTACAAGTGCAAATTACAGGACAGGAGTTGCATTTGTATTTCTGCAGGGACATAATGCTCATGTTTTAGATAAATTATTGTATTTTAAGGTCAGTTTCACATTTCAGTTGAGCTGGTTTGATTTGCGAAGCATCTGAGTACCGTGAATGGAACAGGGTTGTTTTTTTAAACCATATGGTATCCTGAGCTGGTCAAAGTATCTTTTTAGAGGACAGGCTGTTGATTATCTGCCATGCATGGTAGATACCAAGCAAAGTAAATATAGCTTCAAACAGCACTGTTGTTTGCATATTAAAGGCTAGTTTCTGATATTGGGTAAACTGAAGAGGAAGTGGTGGTGCATGAAACCAGTTACTGCTATCTAGAGCTATGTGAAATGTTTTAACCAAAACTTTTTTGGCAAAAACTGCAGATTTGGGTCAAAGAAAATATTTTTGGGGAATTAATGTTGATTGCCACAAATCATTACAGTAAAAAAACCCAAACTCAAAATTCTAAAAAAGTCAAAACATTTTGTTTTGATATTTTTGAAACTAAACTTTTCAATTTAAAACCACTTCTTTTTGAAATTACCTTTAATTTTATTTTTTAAATTAAAAAAGAAAAAAGATCAAAATCAGAACAATATTCTGTTTGACCCAAAATGAATTTTGGTTTTTGATTCACTGAAAATTTTTGAAATTTTCATTTTTAGGTCGACTGGAACAATTTTTTCCCCCTCCATATTTCAGAATGGCCAGAAATCCATAATTTGTACAGCTCTTCTGTTATCCTACATGCAGGCATGGTACCTAATAGTTCAAAGTATTTAGCAATAGTGTCTGCACAAATCACACACCCGCATTAAGGTCTAAATATTTAGGCTTTCACGTTTTCTGTAGTTTTCTAGGAACACAGCATCCCTTAGCACCCAGTGTGTGCCACTGGCCTCTAAGAGCTGAGAGAAGAACTCAAACTGAAGTATACCATAAAAATGAAGGAGAAAAATCTAGTAGTGATGACGGATTTCTTTAGTCTACATAAAGTGTTTTTTTTAAAAACCTCAGTTTTACATTTCAGCATTTCTCATAGCATGCCAACAACATAAAAGGATAAAAAAAGCTAATTACCGATGTGCAAGATTGAAGTCTAATAAATGCATGATGCTCCTCATTTGGCTACACCTGCAAGATACAGTCCCAGATCCAGAAAAGTTAACATTTATACAACCATCTTACCCCCTGCAGGTGTAAATAGTCAGCTGACAAATTAAATTCTTGCTTTGTACTCTTTATCTTAAAGCAAAGAAACTTGGCTTCCTCGCTATTCTCCAAATGAATCTCATTCCTCACGAGCTGGTTCCACACTGATACCACTTCACTGTAGCTATGCAGAACATTCCTCTCAAGGTGATTGACTGTGGATGCCTGAAAGACAAAGATAAATATTTTGGACCTGTTGAGTTACAGCAGGTAGGATCCTTTTCTCTCTGCAGTACAGCAGAGAAATGAATGGAAGGAGTTTCCTTGGACAGAAAGCACCATGATGATTATAATAGCATCTATTAGAGTTAAGTTGCCAGCATTTCCATTGTAAAGACATTAATCTCACTTTCAGGGTGTTATAATTCCCAGAAGGAGGTCAATATCTATCTTTGTTCTTTTTATTTTATGTTCCGCCCAAACAAGGGAGGGATAGATGGCTGGACATCTTCAAAGAAATTAACAAGTAAGCCAATTTTTTCTTTCCAACAATCCTCAACTGGGACTAGTCCAACAGAGATCTAATGGGGAAAGGGTGGGACTCAAAATAAAGGAACACCCTAAAGTAACCTGAATTGTGGGTTTGTCGCAGCATGAAAGACATTTCAGCTGATGGCTGCTTTCTCTTAAACCCTGACCTACAGTTTTAATTCTGAATAATGTATGCTATAAAGAGGACTGACTTTTCAAACTGAAAGATCCTGATTCTGATCTCACTTGCACAGGGATACCCAAACTACATCAAAACATATGGAGTTACTCCAGGGAAAATCTAGTGTCTAGTGGCAGATGTTAGTTCTGTTGTTTAATGCACACCTGAGAGGTGCTCAGAAACTATGGGGTGATGATCGTGGTATTAGAACCTGTATAGACCACAGTTGTGTTAGTGAAATTAGAATCAGTCCTAGAATCAGTAGACTCGGTGTCTTTGGTTAAAATCTGTTCTGAACGGCGAACAGCAGAGGCTAACAGAGGGAGTTTGCCTGGGAGCTGTCCGAGAGGAGGTACGCTAAGTGCTGCATTGGGGGGCTGTGTTGGTGAGTATCTGAGTGTCTGTTGCTGGGACAGTTTGTCAGTTTGACCGTGTGCTTGATTGCTTGCTTGTTTGTTTGAAAAGTGTGAATTGGGAGTGCTTTGTTCCAGGTGGGCCTGACTGGTATATAAGGGCAGTCAGCAGCGAACCAGCTGAGCGGCGAACAGCAGAGGCTAACAGGGAGTTTGCCCGCGAGTTCGCCTGGGGAGAGCTCACTGAGGCTTTCATTTGTGGGTTTCTCTGAGTAGTTCCTGCAACAGCTGAGGAAGCTCTTAAGAGGAAGGTGATATGGAAGGTGAGCGATCAGCTGTTGTAACCTGCACAGGTTGTGCCATGTTTGTCTTTCTTCCACAGGACAGAAGCGACTTTGTCTGTACAAAGTGCAAGCTGGTCTCCATGTTGGAAGAGAAGGTTCAAGGTCTGGAGAAACGAGTATCGACTCTGCGTTGCATAAGGGAAAATGAAGATTTCCTGGACAGACGTCAGGAGATGCTTCTACGGCCACAATGTTCTGAAGATTCAGAGCAGGCGCAGCAGGGACCAGAAGGAGGTGAAGTTTGGCAGCATGTGACCTCCAGAAGGAGAAAGAGGAGCGTCCATGTACCAGCAATGGAGATACAAGTGAGCAATCGTTTCCATGTTCTCTCTACAGGTACTAATGCAGAGAGTGGACTAGATGACCCACCTGAGGGAAGGGAGCAGAAGGAGACTCCACCGATTGGAAGGCAAAAGATGCACTTTCCTAGGGATGGGGGTTCCACGACCACCACTCCCAAGAGGAGGAGGAGGGTGGTGGTGGTCGGGGACTCCTTCCTCAGGGGGACTGAGTCATCTATCTGCCGCCCCGACTGGGAAAACCGAGAGGTCTGCTGCTTGCCAGGAGCTAGGATACACGATGTGACGGTGAGACTGCCGAGACTCATCAAGCCCTCGGATCGCTACCCCTTCCTGCTTCTCCATGTGGGCACCAATGATACTGCCAAGAATGACCTTGAGCGGATCACTGCAGACTATGTGGCTCTGGGAAGAAGGATAAGGGAGTTTGAGGCACAAGTGGTGTTCTCGTCCATCCTCCCTGCGCAGGGAAAAGGCCTGGGTAGAGACCGTCGAATTGTGGAAGTCAACAAATGGCTACGCAGGTGGTGTCGGAGAGAAGGCTTTGGATTCTTCGACCATGGGATGGTGTTCCAAGAAGGAGGAGTGCTAGGCAGAGATGGGCTCCACCTAACGAAGAGAGGGAAGAGCATCTTCGCCAGCAGGCTGGCTAACCTAGTGAGGAGGGCTTTAAACTAGGTTCACTGGGGGAAGGAGACCAAAGCCCTGAGGTAAGTGGGGAAATGGGATCCTGGGAGGAAGCATAAGCAGGAGAGCGCAAGAGGGGAGGACTCCTGTCTCATACTGAGAAAGAGGGATGATCGATGAGTTATCTTAAGTGCCTATACACAAATGCAAGAAGCCTGGGAAACAAGCAGGGAGAACTGGAAGTCCTGGCACAGTCAGGGAACTATGATGCGATTGGAATAATAGAGACTTGGTTGGATAACTCACATGACTGGAGTACTGTCATGGACGGATATAAACTGTTCAGGAAGGACAGGCAGGGCAGAAAAGGTGGGGGAGTTGCGTTGTATGTAAGAGAGGAGTATGACTGCTCACAGCTGCAGTATGAAACTGCAGAAAAACCTGAGAGTCTCCGGATAAAGTTGAGAAGTGTGAGCAACAAGGGTGATGTCGTGGTCGGAGTCTGCTATAGACCACCAGACCAGGGGGATGAGGTGGATGAGGCTTTCTTCTGGCAACTAGCAGAAGTTGCTAGATCGCAGGCCCTGGTTCTCATGGGAGGCTTAAATCACCCTGATATCTGCTGGGAGAGCAATACAGCGGTGCACAGACAATCCAGGAAGTTTTTGGAAAGTGTAGGGGACAATTTCCTGGTGCAAGTGCTGGAGGAACCAACTAGGGGCAGAGCTTTTCTTGACCCGCTGCTCACAAACAGGGAAGAATTAGTAGGGGAAGCAAAAGTGAATGGGAACCTGGGAGGCAGTGACCATGAGATGGTCGAGTTCAGGATCCTGACACAAGGAAGAAAGGAGAGCAGCAGAATACGGACCCTGGACTTCAGAAAAGCAGACTTTGACTCCCTCAGGGAACTGATGGGCAGGATCCCCTGGGAGAATAACATGAGGGGGAAAGGAGTCCAGGAGAGCTGGCTGTATTTTAAAGAATCCTTATTGCGGTTACAGGAACAAACCATCCCGCTGTGTAGAAAGAATAGTAAATATGGCAGGCGACCAGCTTGGTTTAACAGTGAAATCCTTGCTGATCTTAAACACAAAAAAGAAGCTTACAAGAAATGGAACATTGGACAAATGACCAGGGAGGAGTATAAAAATATTGCTCAGGCATGCAGGAGTGAAATCAGAAAGGCCAAATCACACTTGGAGTTGCAGCTAGCAAGAGATGTTAAGAGTAACAAGAAGGGTTTCTTCAGGTATGTTAGCAACAAGAAGAAAGTCAAGGAAAGTGTGGGCCCCTTACTGAATGAGGGAGGCAACCTAGTGACCGAGGATGTGGAAAAAGCTAATGTACTCAATGATTTTTTTGCCTCTGTCTTCACGAACAAGGTCAGCTCCCAGACTGCTGCACTGGGCAGCACAGTATGGGGAGAAGGTGACCAGCCCTCTGTGGAGAAAGAAGTGGTTCGGGACTATTTAGAAAAACTGGACGTGCACAAGTCCATGGGGCCGGATGCGCTGCATCCGAGGGTGCTAAAGGAGTTGGCGGATGAGATTGCAGAGCCATTAGCCATTATTTTTGAAAACTCATGGTGATCGGGGGAGGTCCCGGATGACTGGAAAAAAGCTAATGTAGTGCCCATCTTTAAAAAAGGGAAGGAGGAGGATTCGGGGAACTACAGGCTAGTCAGCCTCACCTCAGTCCCTGGAAAAATCATGGAGCAGGTCCTCAAGGAATCAATTATGAAAGACTTAGAGGAGAGGAAAGTTATCAGGAACAGTCAGCATGGATTCACCAAGGGGAAGTCGTGCCTGACTAACCTAATTGCCTTCTATGATGAGATAACTGGCTCTGTGGATGAGGGGAAAGTAGTGGATGTGTTATTCCTTGACTTTAGCAAAGCTTTTGATACGGTCTCCCACAGTATTCTTGCCGCAAAGTTAAAGAAGTATGGGCTGGATGAATGGACTGTAAGGTGGATAGAAAGCTGGCTAGATCGTCGCGCTCAACGGGTAGTGATTAATGGCTCCATGTCTAGTTGGCAGCCGGTTTCAAGCGGAGTGCCCCAAGGGTCAGTCCTGGGGCCAGTTTTGTTTAATATCTTTATTAATGATCTGGAGGATGGTGTGGACTGCACTCTCAGCAAGTTTGCAGATGACACTAAACTGGTAGGAGTGGTAGATACACTAGAGGGTATTGATCAGATACAGAGGGACCTAGACAAATTAGAGGATTGGGCCAAAAAAAACCTGATGAGGTTCAACAAGGACAAGTGCAGAGTCCTGCACTTAGGACGGAAGAATCCCATGCACTGCTACAGACTAGGGATCGAATGGCTAGGTAGCAATTCTGCAGAAAAGGACCTAGGAGTCACAGTGGACGAGAAGCTGGATATGAGTCAACAGTGTGCTCTTGTTGCCAAGAAGGCTAACGGCATTTTGGGCTGTATAAGTAGGGGCATTGCCAGCACATCGAGGAACGTGATCGTTCCCCTTTATTCGACATTGGTGAGGCCTCATCTGGAGTACTGTGTCCAGTTTTGGGCCCCACACTACAAGAAGGATGTGGAAAAATTGGAAAGAGTCCAGCGGAGGGCAACAAAAATGATTAGGGGTCTGGAGCACATGAGTTATGAGGAGAGGCTGAGGGAACTGGGATTATTTAGTCTGCAGAAGAGAAGAATGAGGGGGGATTTGATAGCTGCTTTCAACTACCTGAGGGGGGGTTCCAAAGAGGATGGAGCTCGGCTGTTCTCAGTGGTGGCAGATGACAGAACAAGGAGCAATGGTCTCAAGTTGCAGTGGGGGAGGTCTAGGTTGGATATTAGGAAACACTATTTCACTAGGAGGGTGGTGAAGCACTGGAATGGGTTACCTAGGGAGGTGGTGGAGTCTCCTTCCTTGGAGGTTTTTAAGGTCAGGCTTGACAAAGCCCTGGCTGGGATGATTTAGTTGGGAATTGGTCCTGCTTTGAGCAGGGGATTGGACTAGATGACCTCCTGAGGTCCCTTCCAACTCTGATATTCTATGATTCTATGATATTAGAAGTGCTGCACATCCAGTGGCCCAGAAGCTTTGAAGAAAGGGGGGGGGTCATAGGCTGGATTAGTGAAAGGGTGGAACTCCATCCCCCAAATGCTTTGTGCAGGGAGGGATGAATGTCACCCTCAGGAGAGATGTGCTGCATATGCATGCACAGCTAGCATGCACCACATTTTTCAGAACTGGTTAGGAGGTATCGACTATGCTTGCACTGCAAGGTGGGGGATAGAGAGGCCTAACAAGATGCCAGGGTGAGGATGAACAGCACATTATACAAGCCCAGGAAACCGATGAACATATGCATTTCAAGACACTATCTAATAGATTCACATACAAAGATCACTGCATGCTGTGTGCTGAGAATTGCTGTATAACTACTGCTGTATGATATCCATCCATGCTGGGCACTACGAAAGGAAGCAACGAGTTACTAACCCGCAGGTAGGTAGTAGTTGGTGTATAGATGTGAATTTTCCCTTCTTTTTCATTGCCTTTGTCTTTACAGAACATTTCCACCACCAGGTTCTTGATGGAAAGGGCTTTCCCAGCTGTTAGCTCCATTGTAGACAGATAAGCAGATCGCTCAGGTTGGTGTAGTTTGTGAGCCACATACAAATATAGCCATGGGGTATCCATGTTTAATGCACCTGAAAGCAAATTAACAGGTTGTAGTAAAGCTGATTGAAATGTTAGGTCTTGTGCTACGTGACTTCTAAACTTGCAACAAAATTGACTTAGACTGAGGCTAAAATGGGTTGGTATATTGCAAAGGTCTTTGGACTATGATCTTATGAACCATATGTTCTGCACTACTGAAGGCCCATTAATGATGGGACAAAATGTCGCCTAGTGGTTACACGGCAAAAGCCCTGGATTCCACTGAATGATCTGCCACCATGTGCACAATCTTTATTCACACAGTAAGTGATTCTGGAGCCTTTATGCACATGATTAGTCCCATCAAAGCCAACAGGACTGCACATATAAAGGCAGAAGGTGAATTTTGAACAAGGTTTATAGTGAGAGCTCTTTTCAGGACTCTGTCAATTATTATTGTTTATAATTAGATGTTAGGACCTTGAAATTTTATCTAAAGATTCATCAGATTAATGCCATTCACAGCTTGTGATATGTTCAGGTAAATCACAGATAAATATGTGCCATGTCAAATGACATTTATGACCAGACATTGCAAACCTTCAAAAGAAAACATCAAAAAGTATCTTGTTAGGGATCAAATTAAACACTGGTGTAATTCAACTGAAGTCAATGGAAATACCCCTGGGTGAACTTGGTTCTTTACATCAGACTACTCAATTTGCTACAAAATGTCCATGTGGGCACACACAAGTGAGTTTGGTACAGATCGACTTTGGAAATATAGCTCTTAAGGGCCAGTACACAGATTGAGCCAAATACTACCCAAATACTACACAGCACGTAACCTCACTGAAATCAATGGAGTGTAAATTAGGGTGGAATTTGACCCAGTTGGGTTGATCAATAAATATCAGAAAATAGATATATTTTTTTACAGACAACAACGAAGTAGGTAAATCAATACAACCCCCACTTTCCAAGCAACTCTGGAAAGGCAAGATACGGAATATAATAATAAAGGCCTAGTTCTTGTTCTCCTTACTAAAACAAAATTTCCTTGACATAAATGTGGGGTTTTAAACATTCATACACAAAGATATTGATACTCACACACTGAAATGAATTACTATAGATAAGTGTGTGACTTATAGCCTGAGATACCCTTGATATTCAAGTCACTGTCACCTCTTATTTTTTCCTCTCTTGAACGTCAATAACGTAGATCCAGTCAGTATCTGCTAGGGCAAACAATTCAAAATGCGGCTCCTTTGAGAATAAATAATCCCTTAATGTATTTAATCCATATCTGGAGATATCTGCCTCTAGAAAGTGTCTCACCATTAGCTTACAGAATAACTCTCTACGACTAAGTCATAAAAATACTAGGAGCACCTTTATGACCGCTTTTCAAGTCAGAGGTTGGAAATTTTTAGTGGTACTTCACCTTCCCACTTCCTAAGGTAATTTCTGGATGTATCTTTCCACTGCAGTCCTGCCACAAATGGCATGCGGTCATTATACTGCACCTTAAAGTTGGTGCTACTCTCCGAACGGCCCTGAGAGGTACTTGAGTGCTGCAGCTGGGTTCTGTAATTCACCTGCTTTTCTGGGACTTGCATGGTAAACTGGAAAACAACAATGAATTCTGATTAAAATTAGAAGCATTTCTCATCATCTGGACCATCAAGACCAACAGAACATTCACTTGGGTTTAGAATCAGCGAGGTCAAGCAGTTCTGCTTTGCACATTTGTAATTTCATTTTATAGCTGTTCAAAGTTCCTTAGACCTGTTACAGACATTTTATGTATCGCATCTTTATATATGGTTAATTATGCATTTACAGCCTGATCCAAAGCCCACTGAAGTTGATGGAAAAAACTTCCAATTGACTTTTATGGAAAAACTCCCATTGACTTCAATTGGCTTTGGATCAGCTCCTTAGTCATTTTAAAAAAGTCATGATAATAATTTCATGTTATTTGGTGCTGGTGTCTCAGGTAAAATCTATGCTGCTAGCAGGAGGTCACTGCTAAAACAATATTGAAATATACAGTATACGTTATGATAGTTCAGATATAGGCTACATGGAAAGGTCACCATCTATTCTAAAACAGCAGCGTTTGTTTTCATGTGCAGCTACTGCCTGAGAAGATTTGTAAAATCTGTGTCCCTGCGATGGGGTGTACCTTGCCTTTGTGGTCCACTGCCAGAGGCTCTGTGGTCCTACTACATCTCCCCCCCAGGAAAGGAGGCCTGCCTAGAGAGGCTGCACAGAAGCAGCGAATCAGAGCCCAGCAGGCTCAGATAAAAGGAGCTGCAAATCATTAGCAGGTAGTTCCTGGCTGGGACCAGAGGAGCAAGGCAGAGTGCTCCTCTCTGGCCAATGGTGCTTGAGGGATAATCAAAGTTTGGTTTTGGCTGAATTTGCTTCAGTTGGGAGGGAGAGGACCTGAGAACTGTAACTCTGAGATATGGGGTGAAAATAAAAGGGCCAGGTGGGAAGAGGCCCAGGGAAATAGCAGCAATAAATGGAAGTGAGTGGGATGTAGCTGCTGTTTATAAGGTCTCTGGGTTGGAATCCGTAGCAGTGGGCAGGCCTGGGTTCCCCCATTGACAAAGTGGTGTAAACCCCAAGAAGGGGACAAGGCTTGTTTGGAAGCCTGAGTGAAGGCCTAAATGTAAAGGCCCCAGAGCTGAGTTTGAAGAGCCTAGTAAAGGCAGGTAGATGGTTTTATTGGAGGGTTCCTTTTGAACTCTGTGACTTGGTTGGAGGGTTGAGACACACAAGGCCTCCAGCCACTGAAGCTCTGTCAAGCGAAGCCGAGAACCTATAGGGGGCGCTAGGAGCAGGAAAAGGAGTAGAGTAACTGCACGCAGCAGCAAGAGGCACTGAAGAGGTGAGTGTTTCCTGTTACAGTCTCCCTAAGAACTAATATAGACGTTTATATGCATCGTTTCTGTAAAGATCCATTACAAATCCAGACAGGACATGAGTAACACAGGAATTCCCATGTGATCCATTATTCTATCTCTTCCAGCACTCAATACTGTATGCTTCAAAGGAAGGCACAAACTTACCATAATGCATCTAATTATTCTCTACTACATTACTGGGGAAACATTTTTCTGATCCCACAGTTTATATCTGGAGGAATCAGGAGAGAAAGTTTTGTAATATAGTCTAGCTATTGTAATTCTACAAAAAAACTTCTACCTAAATACTATATGCTCTGGGTCCCTTCTTGTGTTTGATTGCTAACATTACAGATCCCACTGCAGCATCTTGTGAACAAAGTAAGCTTTATTAGGACTGGCAAATCAGTTTGCATAAGCCAACCTAAAACCTCACAAAACTCAAACCAAATCAAGCTTGAACCTTTTTTTGAGGTTTGAAAAAAGTCCAACTAGTGGGTTTTCTTGATGTTTGGTTTAATTTTCATGCATCTTTGAACTTCTTGGTCTCAAATGGATCTTAACTTTTTCCACATATCTAGATATCTGGTTCATCTAATCCACACACTGTAATTTTACTTTTAAAACTCTTAATAGGCCAAGCAGACCAAACACTGAATAATGGACGTCCCTTAACATAGAGGCATGAGTAATGTCCCACAACCCACGTCAAATAATAAAATATCACATGAATGAAATACAAAGTTTTCAAGTAATATTTGTGTAAGTGTTCAGTCACTGTCACATAACATTCTGACTTTGCACAACGAATAACATTTGGTGAGATGGTATCCCTCAAAATAAGAATGCTTCAGAAAAATGACTATGCAAACCGTGGAGCCATCTCACTCAGATTATTCTTGATGTGTATTCCGTCAGTTTGCTTTAATGAAAAAAAATTGTCTATGGGGCTAAAACTGTTGAGAGAGAGTGGGCTGGACTCTATTCCCCGTGCTCCAAGAGAATTGTTTAGTAAGTTCCATTTACTGCATGCAAGTTGTTTGCACAGGAGTAAGTGAGGGAACATTTTGAACTCCAAAAAATTATATTATTAGTGATGATGGTTGAGATGGGAAGAATTCAGCTTGACTCTCAGATCCCAGGTTGAGTTTGCTAAGCTGGTAGTTAGAGAACACCTCTTTTGCTTGCAAACTGAATATATTTGACCTTGATGTCATTGGAAGATGAACATCTTAGGGGTCACCAAATGAAATTAATAGGCACCAGGTTTAAAACAAATAAAAGGAAGTTCTTCTTCACACAGCGCACAGTCAACTTGTGGAACTCCTTACCTGAGGAGGTTGTGAAGGCTAGGACTATAACAGTGTTTAAAAGAGAACTGGATAAATTCATGGAGGTTAAGTCCATTAATGGCTATTAGCCACGATGGGTAAGGAATGGTGTCCCTAGACTCTGTTTGTCAGAGGGTGGAGACGGATGGCAGGAGAGAGATCACTTGATCATTACCTGTTAGGTTCACTCCCTCTGGGGCACCTGGCATTGGCCACTGTCGGTAGACAGGATACTGGGCTAGATGGACCTTTGGTCTGACCCAGTACGGCCATTCTTATATTCTCATAACATGGCTGACCACTACACCATAATCACTTTTTCAGAGCACAAGCACAAGTTATGCTTCATTTCATATTTTTTTATACAGTTTGCCCTTTACTTCCTGGCAACGCAGGTGCTATCCAACAGCAGGTGCTATTACCTCCATGAAGTAGTTGACCTGAGATGGACTTGAACTATTTTTAAATGTCTGGCTGATCAGTAGCTTCCTCTTGTTGTTGATTTCATCCCAGTGTTTGCCGTAGTTGACTTCCAGCTGGGAGTAGAGCCGAGATGCACTCTCTTCATGCCGCAAATGAACCTGCAGAAACAACACACCATTTCCCTGTGTCATCCTTTCCCCCCTTATAGATGGTGCTGTGCATATACAGAACGTTAGTAGCCCTGCCTACAGAAATACCCCTTGGTAGTAGGCAAGTGATAGTAAAAAGTTACATCACAGCTAATGCTCAATATTTAAACTAGACAGCATTATATGTTATTAAGCTTCAGCTCTGCCTCCTAACAATTCACAGAACAGGGAGTTTTGAAGATGTTAATCAGCTGAAGGTTAGTTAGTGTCCGAAGGACATCACAAACTGAACCTGAAAAGTGTTACAAATCCAGGTAAAACATTCTAATTTCTGGACATGTAAGTATGATGAAACCATGACTTGGATGGGTCTGTATGCTTAAGAGGATTCCTGGATTGCTGACTACAGAAAATACAATGAAATCGTACATTAATATGTAAATACTGGGATTAAAAAGCATATGCATATGCAAAAATATTCTACAGAAATTATATGAATGCATATATAAGAATTGAAGTCACTGGAATTACTCTGGATTTACACAGCTGTAACAGAGAGCAGAAATGGGTGACTTTTATTTTTGATGCCTTAGCCTATCGTAGGTAAACAGGCTATAAGCTAAAACAAGAGGAAAAAAAGATTGTCCCAAAACTGACCTCTGGGATATCCCTGTGTTTGAAACCCTACAGCTAATACATTGCAGCATATTGAACTCTCTACCTTGTGGTTATAGGATGGAGTCTGTGTACAGTGAAGCTCATGTCCCAAATCCAATTTGTATGCTTCATTTGAACTGGTCTCCACTTTAATTTTCTGTCCTGCATTACATTCATGCCGAAGATTTTTTGCATCTCCTGTTTGAGTCAACACACGCACATATGGAAATGCTTTGGCTTTTCAAAAGTGAAAGATTCAACTCATACAGAATAAACTATCAATATAACCCTAAGTCTGCATTATAGTTTTAATTTAATGTAATCATAACAACAGGTTCTTCACAGAAATATAATTTGTTTTATCCTAAGAATCTTGAGGTAAGAACACTCTTACGGTATCAATAAGCATGTATTTAGGGATGATGGGTTTGTGTTTTCTACATGAGAACTTGCCTCTGAAAATGAAAACGTTAATTAACAAACTAAGAACCAGATGATAAAGAAGTATACACTTCGTTCATTTAAATGGGCTGACAGTTTGCAGTCAGTAATATCCTTCTCTGAATCCTCTTCTGATTGAAACCAAAGGTTCCCAGCTACTGGTATGTATTACTAGTAACAGCACTTCAAGCTTTTTAATCCAGGTGTCCCATGCTCTTCCGATGGGGCCCAGAGGTGTAGCTAGTGCCAGTCTAACATGCCAGGGAGCAGTCCAAGTGCTATTGTAGGTTAGAGTGCATGGAAGTGTGAATGAAAGGTATCTAGCAGAGGCTGTTTTAGCCGAGGTCTCTGTCTGATAAAACTGCTTATCAAGGTTGGGTCATACAAACTTTGATTTATCCCACAAGTTTCATTAGAAATGAAAATCCTAAAATGATGGGTCACATTATAGAATTTATTTATGATTTTGGACCTCTGTTTATTTTATTTTCTAATAAAATAAAAGATGTTTCCAAGTTTAGGAAGTTGGAAACATCTGTTTTACATCAGAAGGCAAAATGAAAACAGTCCAAGTCTTTAGTCTGATTTTGGCCTAAGGAAAATCAAGATACTGCTTATGTTTGTTCTGACATATTTTCTACAGTTTCTCTCTCCCCCTCCATCCCAGCAGTAAGAGCAACATCCAGGCATTAATTTTATTTCTTTGGTGGAATTTTTATTGGGGTAAAAACTTTTCAAAACCTGAGCAAGTAGCAGATTGCCAGCTTTTGTGATTTTATTGTGGGTCTCGCAATACTTGGGGATTTTTTGTTCTTGTTTTTAGTTAAAAGCTTAGCTCCTGAAGCCACACATTGACATGAAAATCTTGGCTTTCATTTAAATAAAAAGTAATGGCTGATGAGAAGAGCTTGAACACTCAAACCCTTTAGACTCAAACACCAGAAGACACAAAAAAACACTTTTTTTTTTTTAAATTGCATGATTGTTAAGCCAAACTCATGATTGAATGCTTAGGATACACTGTACGTAACCTTATTTTTAGCACCAAGCTCAAAGATATTTGCTTTCAGTGGGTATTTGTACAAACCAGAATAGCCATTGTACTGCACAAACACTTTCCATTTACCAATATGGTTGAAGAATATTTGTTTCCCTGTAAATGATATTCTAACTAACATGACGCTAAATGATGACTTTTAGCAAAGTAAACCATATCTGTGCTGGTCTAAAAAAAGTTAGCTAGTCATACCACTACACATGACCCAGGATTAATATGCCATATGCATGCACACAATCAGGTTTTAATGCACTCTATGCACCAACTGCTATAGCTATTCAGCAAAAGCCATATAACTCCTTTGATTGTCTGATTGCTTTGGCTGCCCAGTAAATTTAATAGCTCGGCATTTCTAGTCTATATAATGTAGCTGGCGAAATACTGCAAAACATTTTCTGGATATATTTCCTCATTTTTAAATGAATTCGTTGAATGTATGCATCTGTTTTGTTCACTTTTCATAAACATTCTAGCAACTGCAGAAATATTTGCAGAAACAGTGTATTTTAAAGCAAATACTGGAGAATGTTCGCAGAAACCACTTTTTAAATTTATTCTGGGTTTTTTTCATTGGAATTCTGAGAGTTGCATTTATCCAGTTGGGTAACAGAAGACAGTTCTAATGTTTTGGCTTTGCTCTTTAGCATAACAATAAATGTCATTTACACAGTACCTAGGAGTCCATACTTTATTCTCAGAGCATTAGACCACAGGCTCCCTCGTTGCTGCAGCAGGCCAATGGTGTGAGATCCAAGAATACCTGGAAAGTAGGTCTCCCCTTCGAGTGAGTACTGCCTCAGTTTATCATCAACCTTTTTCTCCAGAAATACTACAGAAAGAGCAGAAGTTACCATGCAGCAGCACACGATAAGATCTGTGCAGTCAGAAAAAGGAAACATTGTTGGGAAAAAACATACACCACCTTCTAAAAAGCCGCCCTAGAGTCCAGTCCTGTGAGATAGCAAGTGCCTTCAGCTCCCCCAATGAGAGAGAGAGTGTACTGCCTTGCAGGACTGGCCCTTTTAGGTACTGGTAAGGACTGGCCAATGGCTATAGGGCTTTTCATGTCTACAGTAGCTCATTGGTTCAAAATCAGCCCAGGTTACAATGATTCGTACACCATTACTATGAGGTGGTCTGCATGAAAACAGGAGTAGATTCAGCCAAATTCCCAGTGGATAAGAGTCTACAAAGAAACAACATTGCAGCTGGCCCCAACAAATGCCACTTTTGGTAGCATCAGCAGCCTGGTTCAGGACCAAATAGGGACAGAGACTGAACTCTCACCCTGCAGATGATCTCCCCGGAATAGGGATGAGATGGACAATGTGGGGAAGCTCCCACTGGGACGGCCTGTGCTATAGATGAAGACAGGAGCTCACTTTCAGGCCTGTCAATAAGGCATCTTTCGCCACTTTACAGCTCCTTTTTATTTATTTTTTCCTATTTATCTAGCCCACTCCTTTATTATGATGTAATAAATATTGAGCTCTACAATATTTCTCTAGAGAAGCAACGCTGGGAGGGCAAGCATGATCCACAGGGGATCCTTGGAGATTCCACTAAGAGCTTCTCAAACTGGGGTGCATGGAATGTGTTCGGGGGGAAGGGGAGAGAGGGGGTATGAGAAGCTGCTCTGCCTTCAGAGCTGGGTTGCCGGAGAGCGGCGGCAGCTGGCTAGGCGTCCAGCTCTGAAGGCAACACCGCCGCCAGCAGCAGCAGATAAGTAAGGGTAGCATGGGATCCCTTACTTCTGTGCTGCTGATGGTGGCAGTATATGCACTTGTGTGGCAGGACCTGGGTGTGTGTGTAAAGGACTACAGACACAAAAAAGGGGGAGTGCGCGATCAAATAAGTTTGACAACAACCACACTAAGATATTTTGTCAGAGGGAAAAAAATAGGGAGCCTAATTGTTACATTTTTGATTTATTCCAGTATATGAATTCTCCTTTTTATCTAGCCACATTACGAGCAGCAGGGTTTTTAACACAATAGTGAATGATGGAAAATAGGATTTGAATTTTTAAAAATAAATGACTCCTTGCAAATGTTAATGCTACTTAAACTTTTTCTTTTCAGACAAAGGGATTCAAGGCAGATGTTTAATTTACTGTATAACTGCTATTATTTTTCAATGGTAAGTAAGTGTTACACAAACTCATACATTTTAAAAGACATCCCAATTAATTTCAATGGGATTTTAGTTCCTATAAAACTAGGGAACTAGAACATATGCTCTCTCTCAGCATAAGTCCCAAGGACACCAGATCCCACTCATTTATGTGACAAGTACTTTCTCCACCAACCTGAAAGAAATGCTGCATCCTTCAATAAATTATGCAGGGACACTGAAAAAGCCATTTTCTTGCCAAGTTGCTTAGTGATGTTTCCTGACAGAACGATTGGGCTGCCTTGCTTTATCAGCTTTACCTCCAGCTGGGTTGTGTATCTCTGCTCTCCACTCACTGTTTGCAAACCCGTCATTCCCTAAAAAAACCCGACCCAACAATGCAGTTTGATTATGTTTTGAGAAACAGACTCAGCCAGCATTTGGTGACTAGATACTAGAGATGGGCACCTTACCAATGTGGAAGGAGGAGAGGGAATATTTATATTTTCAATTTAGACAAATGTTGACAAATAATGGGTGAGAAGACAGTGGATTTATTTTCCAAACAAGACAAAGAACCCAGTCTTGTGAGGTGCTAGGTACTCTCCGCTCCCACTGACTTCAATGGGAATTGAGAACACACCGCATGTTGCAGGACTGACCAAATAACTGAAACACAAAATGAAAACAAAATTTGTTTGATATGGTGTTATTGAAAACATTGACTGGATGGCAGTTTGGAACTTTATTTTGGTTGGCCAGAATGCAAGTTAGTTAGTGTTTGATTTGCTGCTCTGCTAAAGAGAAAAAAGGTTCAAAATGTCTGGGCTGAAATTGTATTGTAGGGAAAAACAGTTGGCAAACTACTGTAGTTGTTGAAAAATGGGTAACTATTAAGTAGGATTGGGACTACAGGCCCACGTTGATGCGGCTGCTAAGTTGCCGATTAAGTAATGAAAAAAGGCGAATTATTACAGTCTAAATCTGTGGGGAAGTAAAAATCTCAGTATAATTTCAATGTTAAATTTCTACCCACGTGATTTTTTTCTTTTATAGTTTTAGCATTGGAATTATCCCGTTTATCTCTCAGCTATGATGCAAACCATATCTTTAAAAGAAGAATATTTGGGATAGTCCTGTATCTACAAAGTTCATGCCAGTGAAAAGCTAACTCTGGGTTCAGTCACAGACATTATGCATGACCATTGTAAAAATTTGTGATTGCAACTGAAAGCCTGCTCTAAGAAATCACTTCACTTTATTCATTTAGCACCAAATGCAAGTGAAAAATAGGCGAAATATTGTTTAAAGCCCCAATGCAGCATATAGAAGCACATGGGGGAATGGGCTGCTGCACTCACACAGAGCCTCATAGACTTCAGTAGGCTCTGCGGGTGCAGAGGTCTTCCTACTTGATTTTACTTTGAGGATCAGGCCCTCAGAGTAATACCACAACGAACTAGATTAAGGCCAAACTCTTTTCACATAAGCCACCAGTGATAACTTGTAACCTGGAGACAGTGGCAGCGGTATACATATTGTAACCCTGAACTATGTCGACGACCAGGGCCAGAAAATAGAGTTCACTATTAGAACTCTCCAGTCTGACAGTTCATTAGGCCTGGTCTACACTAGGACTTTAATTCGGATTTAGCTGCGTTAATCCGAATTAACCCTTCACCCGTCCACACTACAGAGCCAGTTAATTCGAATTAAAGGGCACTTAAAATCGATTTCTGTACTCCACCTCGACGAGCGGAGTAGCGCCTAAATCGATTTTGTTAATTCGAATTAAGGTTAGTGTGGCCGCACACCACCGAATTACTGTGTTTAAGTTAATGGTGTAGTGTGGCCGCACACCACCGAATTAATGTGGTTAAAAACCGAATTAAGGTGCTTAGTGTGGCCGCGCACAATCGAATTTATACAACCTGTTTCCCAAATTCGAATTATCTAAATTCGGATTAATCCTGTAGTGTAGACATACCCTTAGTCAGTGTTGCTGTGGGCACAAATGAAAATAGCTACAGCAGCTGGAGGTAAAAGGCTCTGTATTCTGTTACCAATCTTCCAAGCTACCTATCACCCAAACAGCTCAGCTCTCTTCAAAAGTAGCTGAGAGAACATGGGAGTTTAAACTATATACACACTTACTAAACCAAAGCCCACTGAAGTCAATGGGAGTAGTCCCACTGACTTTGGATCAGGCTCATAGTGCACAGCTATTAGTGGTTTTAAGGACAAAATCTGAATGGAACAAAATTGCTTTTGCTTATATGTTGGTGCTTAAGGATATTTGATTATAAAAAACCACAATTTAGGGCTGATCTGTCAGTATGTATTATCCCTACTTGAGTGAATGGATATACCTGTAATAGAGAACTCACTCATTCCTGTAATTGATTATTCAGACACTATTTCAGTATACATGGGTCTTATTGTCCTTCTATGGGGATTTTTTCACCCCGTTTCTATGTGTCTATTTCATCCTAGTATTGAAAACTTTGTATTTTGAGGATGTACCTTAATGTAATAGACATCTTTGTCATCTAGTATCAGCTCCAGGTGTCCAACTCGTGAATTCTTAGATAACTCAAGTTTTCCTTAGAGAAATAGGAAAGAACACAGGTGTTTTCTTATTTTGGTACATATAAAGCTACAATATATTTTTTACTGTATCTTACATAAAAACATATCACAACATGTTATTCACAATTACTGTGAATAATACATTTACAGAATTAAATAACAAATACTTGCAGAGCAAAGGAAAACAGTAAGAGGTGTGGGGTAAAATTTGACTTTGGAGCCTAAGTCCCATTTTCAAAAGAGACGTAGCTTCTACATACTTAAGTCCCATTGATTTTTCAGTGACACTTAGGCTATGTCTACACTACAGAATTAGGTCGGATTTATAGAAGCCGGTTTTATAGAAACCGGTTGTATGCAGCCGATTGTGTGTGTCCCCACCTAAAATGCTCTAAGTGCATGAAGTCGGCGGACCGCGTCCACAGTACCGAGGCTAGCGTCGACTTCCGGCGCATTGCACTATGGTACCTATCCCACAGTTCCCGGAGCCTCCGGCGCCCATTGGAATTATGGGTTGAGATCGCAATGCCCGGATGATGCAAAGCAGTGCCGCGAGGGGTTCTGGGTACATTGCGTCAGGCCCCTCCCCCGCCGTCACAGCAACGGCAGACAATAGATTCGCGCCTTTTTACCTGGGTTACCTGTGCAGACAACATACCACGCCAAGCATTGAGCCCGCTCAGCTCAGCTCACCGTCACCATATCTCTTCCGGGTGCCGGCAAACGTGGGACTGCATTGCTAAACAGCAGCAGCAGCTTACTGCCTTTTGGCGGTAGACGGTGCAGCATGACTGGTAGCCTTCATTGGCGATCTGGGTGCTGGCAGCTGTGGGGCTGGCAGCCGTAGGGCTGCATTGCACCAGCCCCTTGCCTTTTGGTAGAAGATGGTATATTACGACTGGTAACCGTCGTCATCGTACTGCAGTGGCTGTCGATCATGGGCACCCGGGCAGACAATGATGGTTATCAGTCGTAGTATGCTATTTTCTGCCAAGTGCCCAATATTGTCTGCTAAGCACCCAGAAGAGGCCGAGGGCTATCTGGGTGCTGGCAGACATGGGGCTGGCAGCCGTGGGGCTGCATTGCACCAGCCCCCTTGCCTTGATGATGATGGTTATCAGACGTATTATGCGCAGGATGGGGCAACATTGCTACACAGCAGCAACCCCTTGCCTTTTGGGCAGTAGATAGTATATTACGACTGGTATCCATCGTTGTCATACTGGGTATCAGATCGTGCAATAGACCTGAAGGCTAACTGCCAAGCGCCCAGTATTTGCTGCCAAGCACCCAGTAAATGCCAAGGGCTATCAGTCATGCTGCACCGTCGTCTTAAGATGTAAAAAATAGATTTATTCTGTATTCATTTGCTTCCCCCCCTTCTTCCTGCTAAACCCAGGCTTTTGAGTTCAATCTTTGGGGGGGGGGGCATTCTGTGTGACAGTTGTTTGTGTTTCTCCCTGATGCAAAGCCACCTTTCTTGATTTTAATTCCCTGTACCTGTATGCCATGTCGTCACTCGCCCCTCCCTCCCTCCCTCTCTCCCTCCCTCCCTTCTTCCCCTGGTCCGTCAGATACTACTTTCGCGCCTTTTTTCAGACCAGACGCCATAGCCAGCACCGGGATCATGGAGCCCGCTCAGATCACCGCGGCAATTATGAGCACTATGAACACCACGCGCATTGTCCTGGAAAACATGCAGAGCCTCCTGGACATGCCAAAGCCAAACCAGGACCAGCTGAGGAGGAGGCGATTGCAGCGCGGCGACGATAGTGATGAGGAAATTGACATGGACCTCTCACAAGGCACAGGCCCCAGCAATGTGGAAATCCTGGTGTTACTGGGGCAGGTTCATGCCGTGGACCGCCGATTCTGGGCCCGGGAAACAAGCACAGAGTGGTGGGACCGCATCGTGTTGCAGGTGTGGGACGATGCCCAGTGGCTGCGAAACTTTCGCATGCGTAAGGGCACTTTCATGGAACTTTGTGACTTGCTTTCCCCTGCCCTGAAGCGCCAGAATACCAGGATGAGAGCAGCCCTCACAGTGGAGAAGCGAGTGGCGATAGCCCTGTGGAAGCTTGCAACGCCAGACAGCTACCGGTCAGTCGGGAATCAATTTGGAGTGGGCAAATCTACTGTGGGGGCTGCTGTGATCCAAGTTGCCAGGGCAATGAGAGACCTGGTGATATCAAGGGTAGTGACTCTGGGAAACGTGCAGACCATAGTGGATGGCTTTGCTGCAATGGGATTCCCAAACTGTGGTGGGGCGATAGACGGAACCCATATCCCTATCTTGGCACCGGCGCACCAAGCCGCCGACTACATAAACCGCAAGGGGTACTTTTCAATGCTGCTGCAAGCCCTGGTGGATCACAAGGGACGTTTCACCGACATCAACGTGGGCTGGCCGGGAAGAGTACATGATGCTCGCGTCTTCAGGCAGTCTCTTCTGTTTCGAAAGCTGGAGGAAGGGACTTTCTTCCCAGACCAGAAAATAACCGTTGGGGATGTTGAAATGCCTATCGTGATCCTTGGGGACCCAGCCTACCCCTTAATGCCATGGCTCATGAAGCCATACACAGGCAGCCTGGACAGCAGTCAGGACCTGTTCAACTACAGGCTGAGCAAGTGCCGAATGGTGGTGGAATGTGCATTTGGCCGTTTAAAAGCGCGCTGGCGCAGCTTACTGACTCGCTCAGACCTTAACGAAAAGAATCTCCCCATTGTTATTGCTACTTGCTGTGCGCTCCACAATATATGTGAAAGTAAGGGGGAGACATTTATGGCGGGGTGGGAGGTTGAGGCAAATCGCCTGGCCGCTGATTACGCGCAGCCAGACACCAGGGCGGTTAGAGGAGCACAGCAGGGCGCGGTGCGCATCAGAGAAGCGTTGAAAACCAGTTTTGTGACTGGCCAGGCTACGGAGTGAAACTTCTGTTTGTTGCTCCTTGATGAACCCTCTGCCCCTCCCCCACCACCCTGTTAACTCTACTTCCCTGCAAACCAACCACCCCACCCTCCCCTACTACCCTCCCCCCTTCGAGCACCACTTGCAGAGGCAATAAAGTCATTGTTGCTTCACATTCATGCATTCTTTATTAATTCAGCACACAACTAGGGGGATAATTGGAAAGGTAGCCCGGGATGGGTGGGGGAGGAGGGAAGGAAAAGGACACACTCCAATTTAAAACTTTAAAACTTATTGCTATGGAAATCATCTAGGGTGGAGTGAGTGGGGGGCCGAAGGCCCCCCCACCGTGTTCTTGGGCGTCTGGGTGAGGAGGCAATGGGACTTGGGGAGGATGGCTGCTGGTTACAGAGGGGCTGTAGCGGCGGTCTCTGCTCCTGCGGCCTTTCCTGCAGCTCAACCATACGCAGGAGCATATCACTTTGATGCTCCAGCAGCTGGAGCATCGACTCTTGCTTTCTGATTACAAGTTGACGCCACCTCTCCTCTTCAGCCCGCGTTTCAGCACGCAACTTCTCATCTTCAGCACGCCACCTCTCCTCTCGCTCATATTGGGCTTTTTTAAAATCAGTCATTGACTGCCTCCACGCATTCAGCTGTGCTCTGTCAGCGTGGGAGGCAGTCTGAAGTTCAGTAAACATTTCGTCACGCGTCCTTCGCTTCCTTCTTCGAATATTCACTAGCCTCTGCGAAGGAGTAAGATTTGCAGCTGGTGGAGAAGGGAGAGGTTGTTAAAAAAGATACATTTTAGAGAACAATGGGTAGACTCTTTCACGTTAGATTTTGCTGTTCACAACATCACACAGCACATGTGCTTTCGTTACAAGGTCGCATTTTTCCTCTTATATTGAGAGTCTCCTGGTTTGGTGTGAGAGATCACTCACGCAGTGCCAGGACACAGATTTCAGCTTGCAGGCAGCCATGGTAAGACATATAGTCTTTGGGCTTTTTTAACCTTCTTAACATGTGGGGATGGTTTCAAACAGTTCTGCCCTCATTTCCCATACCAAGCACCCGTGCCATTTAAAATGGGTTTGCAATGTAAAAGGAGGGGCTGCGATTTCAGGTTTAACATGCAGCACAAACCCAACTAACTCCCCTCCCCCTCACACCCAATTCTCTGGGATGGTCACTTCACCCCTCCCCCCCACCGCGTGGTTAACAGCGGGGAATATTTCTGTTCAGCAGACCAGGAAGGGGCACCTCTGAATGTCCCCTTAATAAAATTGCCCCATTTTAACCAGGTGACCGTGAATGATATCACTCTCCTGAGGATAACAAAGAGCGATAAGGAATGGATGTTGTCTGCATGCCAGCAAACACCGGGACCATACGCTGCCATGCTTTGTTATGCAATGATTCCAGACTACATGCTACTGGCCTGGCGTGGTAAAGTGTCCTACCATGGCGGACGGGATAAGGCAGCCCTCCCCAGAAACCTTTTGCAAAGGCTTTGGGATTACATGAAGGAGAGCTTTCTGGAGATGTCCCTGGAGGATTTCCGCTCCATCCCCATACACGTTAACAGACTTTTCCAGTAGCTGTACTGGCCGCGATTGCCAGGGCAAATTAATCATTAATCATTAAACACGCTTGTTTTTAAACCATGTGTAATATTTACAAAGGTACACTCACCAGAGGTCCCCTGTGTGCCCTCAGGGTCTTGGGTCAGTTCGGGGGTTACTGTTTCCAGGTCCAGGGTGACAAACATATCCTGGCTGTTGGGGTAACTGGTTTCTCCGCTTCCTTGCTGCTGTGAGCTATCTATGTTCTCTCCATCCTCATCTTCCTCGTCCGCCGAACCCGCTTCCCCGTTTGCAGAGAGGGACTCATAGAACACGCTTGGGCTAGTGGTGGCTGCACCCCCTAGAATGGCATGCAGCTCCGCGTAGTAGCGGCATGTTTGCGGCTCTGCCCCGGACCTTCCGTTTGCGTCTCTGACTTTGTGGTAGGCTTGCCTTAGCTCCTTAATTTTCACGCGGCACTGCCGCGCGTCCCTGTTATGGCCTCTGTCCTTCATGGCCTTGGAGATCTTTTCTAATGTTTTGCTGTTTCTTTTACTGTTTCGGAGTTCGGCGAGCACTGCTTCATCTCCCCAGATGGCGATCAGATCCTGTACCTCCCGTTCGGTCCAGGCTGGAGCTCTTCTGCGATCCTGGGACTGGGACTGGGACTCCATCATGGTTACCTGTGCTGATGGGCTCTGCATGGTCACCTGTGCTCTCCACGCTGAGCAAACAGGAAATGAAATTCAAACGTTCGCGGGGCTTTTCCTGTCTACCTGGCCAGTGCATCTGAGATGAGAGTGCTGTCCAGAGCGGTCACAATGAAGCACTGTGGGATAGCTCCCGGAGGCCAGTAATGTCGAATTCCGTCCACACTAACCCAATTCCGACCCCCTAAGGTCGATTTTATCGCTAATCCCCTTGTCGAGGTGGTGTTAGGAAACCGGTTTAAAGGGCCCTTTAAGTCGACAGAAAGGGCTTCATAGTGTAAACGTGTCCAGGCTTAAGTCGATTTAACGCGGCTAAAGTCGACCTAAACTCGTAGTGTAGACCAGGCCTTAGGTTCTTAAGTGGCTGTCATGTTGAAAATGGGACTTAGGCTCTTAAGGAAAGCTGGCCGGAACCTAGTATTCCTGTTCTGCAGGAAAGTCCAATTTTTTTTTTATTCTGATTTTTGGCTCCCAGTGAGCTAGTGAACTTTTGGGAGCATCTAGGATTAACAAAGATTCAATTACCCCAGCTAATGGAGAATCTATAATAATGTCATCTACATTAGCTGAATGGCTATCATACAATTCAGTACAAATTTACAGCTAGATCCTCCGCTGGTGTATATTGGAGTAACTACATTGACTGTAACGGAGCTCCCCTGATTGCCGCTAACAGAGGATCTGGCTGTTAGCTGAAAGACCTACCATCGACTTGGATTTTTTTCTTTGGCTGTATAAATTTGATTCTGAATTTTTTCTGTGGGACATTAAAATTGAGGTCAACCCCAACATCCCTTTTCAGGTCTGACTTTGGCGTCCCAATAAAGAAATGAAGGACAACTTCACTTGGAATCCAAGAATCCTCCTAGAAAAAAAGAAATGATCATGACATCTGTAATTGGCAGCGCATTTACAAAATGGAGCTGGCCATATGGAATTACGTCAAGGAATCACAGCAGGCTCCATTGCTAGGATATTAACACTGTTTTTCCAATCTACTTCTATAATTCTTGTATAAACCATTTCCAGGTGTGCATTTCCCATTTAATTTTATCTTTTATTCCAAATGTTTCTCATACATATGATAGTATTAATTTGCAACTAGCTGAATTTTCCAGTCCCCGCCCAGTGATAGACTTGTGAACTCTCATTTGAACACTTAGGATTTCACAGCAGCCTCAGAGCCTCTGGAAATTGTGCCGCCCCCTGCCAAACTTTGAGAAAATTCTAACCCATGATCCAGGTATAGAGCTTAACTCACTCAAACCTTTTCTACTATTTTCATTAAGTACCTTCACATTCTAGGGCCACATTCAATTAGCATTAGAATGTTTTCCCCCTACTATTCCTGGAAGCCTTTGAATTTAATAGGACAGAGTTTAACAATAGAATGCTAAGTTTTGGACTAAAATCATAATGAAAAAAATAATTTTTATAAATGTTGCTGAAAACACAGATTTGGAGGCACTAGTTTATGTGCCATTTTAAATGGTAGACTCTGTAATTCTGTACTAAATGCATGACCAGTTCAGAACATTGTGGGCCAATCAGAAAGAAGCTCTACTGTCCATTGTTGTGCCAGTAATTTTACATGGTCAATCTCTGCGTTTCTCCTGCCCCAGATCTGGATATCCCAAAACCACAGTACTTTTCTCAGTTACAGTGTCTACAGCATTGCAGGCTGCAGATATCAACACATGGCTTTGCTAATATCACATCCTATTTTGCCTGGAATTTCTCAGGCCTGTTTACAATTTCCTGTCGGGTGGGACATAAAATGTGTCTTTGACTGTCTGTTTCAGACCAAAATTCTTTTTGCATCATCTTTGGCTACTCCATGAATTCATGCTCCAGTCACCTTTTGCTTCCCTCACTTAGCTAATTACAAATGGCTAGGGTTTTTCCTGGTTTTATTCACAAATGAGATCACCCCAACCCAGATTTATATCTTCCACCACCATAGGCACCAACTAGCTAAACACTTTTCCAAAGCAGTTTCCTGAAGATATCATCAGTAACCTTGGAACATTAGCACAGTCAGAAAACAGCCCTCAAATATTTTGAGTCTATAGATTTAGACAAGTCAGAAATCCTTGCTGTCTTCTCCACAGTGCAGAAAATCCTCTCTCTTAGGCCTTGTCCATACAAAAAGCGCTACATCAATTTAAAAACTAATCTTGTTAAACTGGAGCAAAGCCCTAAAGTAGACACACTTAAGTCTGTTTAATTCTTGCTTAATTAATTTAGCTTAAGTTGCTTTCTTATTGATATCAGCAAGTTTTAAACTGGCGAAAGTGCACTTAACATTAACAGTTCATACTGGTTTAAGTAGCTTGATTTTTAGGGCAATTTTACACTATGCAAATATAGAAAAGGGGTTAAAGAGAGGCAGTGTTGCTTTGTGGTTAGCTCAAGGCACCAAGTAAGGAAGCCTGGGTTCTGCCCCCAGCTCTATCAGTGTCTGACTGTGTGACCTTAGTCAAGTCACTTAACTTATCTGTTCTCTAACTTTTATATAGGGATAATAATAATTATCCACCACAAGTGTCAGGCAGTAGTTTCCATGTAACTTTGTTCTTTCTATGCCAAACCGGATCCTCTAGCTGCTGGCAACTGGCTGGGCTGGAGCACGCAATGTGCTAAAACACTGTTTTTCACTCTAAATGAATATATCTGCCAAACCAAAAATAAGTGCTATAATTGTACCTGAGGAGTATAGTTATAGGCGGCTTCCATCAGGTACAGTTGCAAGCCTCTATCTTGTTTCTTTAATGTTATAGCTGCTTTTGCTGGTCCAGAGAATGGGAAAGGCAAGCCACTGGTTTTACCAGGGTAAGACATTTCAGAACACAACTGCCAGCCAAAAATCTTGGACACTGGTGAAACACAAGAGCATTGGGTTCAGTTAGAACAGCATTATGATTAAGCCAAGAGGACACACAGACTACCTGAGGAGAATTACTAATGTGTAGATTATTCTGAGGTAATGGGATGAGAAGAAACTCACAATTGTGTCAAATGTGCTGTTTGTTATGATTCAGACCTCTGTACATATTTGAGAGTGATTTAATTCTGTATGATCGATACAATATCCACAAGCCTACCTTCCTCACTAGTGCAGGATTTGGTTTCTATATGGTCTTGGAAACCTTCAATATTTTCCATCCCATCCATTGTTGTAAGGTAAAATTTGGAGCTATAACAAAGAAATGCAAATAGTCATTTAAAAGTGATTTATTTAATCACTGTTTCAAGTTTTTATACATAATTGCACTGGTTTGCCTTTCTTTCAGGTCTGTTTCATCTTTTCCTAGGTGGAAAAATATTATTAGAAAGGTGACGTTCTACTGAGGTCTCTACATGTTTATATTCATTAGGAGTGCAAGTCTCTTCTTTGTGGAAGTCTTGCACAAAGCTTATGCACCACTTTAAGCCTTAATAGGGACTTAAGTGGTACATAGATGGGTCTCAGCACAGGGGTGAATTTGCCTCTAGGAGAAGAAGAACAATCCCTACTCTAATCTTTATTCTAATCAAGGGGTTGGCAACTGGCGGCACGCAGGCTGATTTTTAGTGGCACGCTGCTTCCAGCCGGGGTCCCGGCTGCCATCCCCGCTCAGCCTGCTGCCGGCCTGGGGTCCCGGCCCCTAGGCAGCCAGGGTCCCAGCCGCTGGCCCCACTCAGCCTGCTGCCGGCCTGGTTGGACGGAACCTGGCCGGCAGTGGGCTGAGCGGGGCCGGCGGACCGAACCCCAGACTGGCAGCGGACTGAGCGGCTCAGCCCACTGCCGGTCTGGGGTTCCATCTGCTGCCCGTGCTGGCACACAAAACCTTTTAATGGCACGCAAAACCTTAAATTAATGAAGACTTGGCATACCACTTCTCAAAGGTTGCCGACCCCTGTTCTAATCCTTACTCTTTAGAAGTAGAACAATCGTATAGGGTCTGATTCTCCCCTGATTCACACCAATGCAACTCCATTGACTTCAGTGGAGTAACTCCTAATTCAGACTGAGGAAAGTGAGCAGAGAATAAGGCCCGTAAGATTGTACAGAGGAGGCAGCTCCTATCTAGTGAAAAGGAGGGACATAGTGCATATAAAATAGTGAGGGATAAAAGCAAACCAGTCCAGAGAATTTAAAAGCAGCAAATTACAAAGAACTCTGTGCTAAATTGTGAGCTGACAAGGACAGCAGTGTTTCTTGGTTATAGTTGATGGCAGGTGAAGGATGATGCCATGTACGGCTACCATCCATTTGGTCTCACTCCCTCTCCACACAGCCATACCCTCCTCCATAAAAGGGAGCACCAAACCCATGAAGGCGGGTGCTGTGAAGTTGGAAAGCGGGAGGTCAGATGCTGCTGTTTAGACAACTCCTCCCCCAACTAGTTCAGCCCAAGTTAGGATAATTCCTGGCCCTCCAGGCTTCTCTTCTCTCCCTCCCCCCAAATTTAGGGTATGGCCTGGCCAACAACTATGTTCCAATCCTGAATTTCTTGCAGGACTTCAGTGGGAGTTAGGGTGTGCAAAGACTCTACCCTTGATAGGCATGAAAGGGTTAATAAAGTAGAAACAGAAATAAAGTTGATTTACTATTATGGTAAAATGATTATTTAAGATTATTCTGAGATGAAAATGTTGGCTGTGGGGAGAGAGAGAAGTTGTGTGCATTTGGAATTGGATGGACATTGTACTACACTGAATTTGTTGCCATAAGCCAAATACTTGTGCCATCTACAGATTTGCCTCCTGCCTATGCTGTGTGAACTACAGCTTTCTAATTCTGCTTTGTTCTTTAGCTGAAAACTCATCAAAAGTAAATTAATGCTCTATCCCTTGACTTTTCCATGATTGTGAAAGCCCCTGAAGACAGAGTGCAAAACCAAGACATAGGTTAAAAAAAAAGTAGCCATGATCCACATGCTGTAAATGTTTTATAAATCTGTTGTCTCGTCTAAGAGGCTAGAGATGTGGTTTATACTATGTCAACACATCCAGCCATCTTGCTGATCCAGAATTTTCCACTTGGACTTCTGTCAACTCTGAAAGCAAGAAGAAAAGAGAAAACTGCTGGAAATATACACTACAAAGCCTAGCCCTCATTAGCACAAACAATTCATCAGTTTAACTTCTGGAAGCTGTTGAGACATGAAGCATCCTTTACCCAACATTCAGTGATGTCAGCAGGTACTCACCTGCTGGGTACACCTCATGAAACATGGTATACCAAATGAGCCCAGTTATGTTGCTACATACTATCAATCTGCAGGGATAAAGCCACGTTCTTGCTGCACTGGTGAAATTCCCTGGAATATAGACTGCTTGGATGCAAAAGCTCCAGAGAAGACAGAGCATTGCTAGTCAGTGAGAAACTGGGGAGAGGAAATGTCTTTTGCAGTTCATTACTGTCATATCTCTCATTAAAACAATACTGTACAGAGAACTGGTTGTGATATGATTATATCTCACTCTGATAATAGGATGAACACAGTTATAGTATGTATAGCAATATAATCATACAGCATAAGAGTAAAATTCTCCCATATGGGCATGCATTGTCAAACAGGAATTTCACATTGTTCCCCTGTTATCACATAGATTAATGGATAATGGAAGTGGTTGTATATGCTGCCAGACAGCCCTACTGCTTTGACCCCAGCCAGATCTGACTATTTTCTTGACTTTTGATATCAGTCTTGGATTTAAATACCACTTTGATGACCGTGCGATATGAGAATCTTCAGCCGATCGAGTTCTTGTTATTTCAACTCTTGCCTTCCACGATGCCCTTGCACAGATAGGAACAATCCCATTGCATTCCTGGTAATATTTCTGTTTAGTTTGTCATATATCATATATTCCCACCCATCATTGCCTTCTTGCTGAAACACATTGTTATCATATGCAAGACACTTCTCCTGATTTCTTCTGAGCTGACCCACAAATACCTTCCCTTTACAAGCCCCAGATCAAAACCAGCTGCTTTTGCTAATATAAGCTTAAATACATTTTCATTAAGTGGCCACTGCAGAACCATACAGAAGAACCAAAGGAAATAATGCACTGTTCACATCTCATGATCCCAGTGGCCTCTAGAGCCCAGGAACCTTTTCACCCCCAAAGTTACACATTCTCACAAAGATGAAGGGGTAAACTGATTCTTCTCTGTGGGCCAGTAAAACGTACAAGAATCCTAATCACTTCAGAGACCAAGAGTCGAACCAGTTTCACTTTCCTGCCCCACCAACCATTAGCCTATGTAGAGAATCATAACGAATAAGCAAAAACCTTCTGTGTTTTCTCTCAGTCCTTCCTTACTCAGCAAAACCCCCACTAAAGCAATGGAAGTTTTGCCTGAGTAAGAATCAAGCAAAAATTGAATGGGGATATCGGGATTTAGCCCAGTGCTTTTTTCCACTTTTACTAGCTCCCACTGGGCCTTCATAAACATCATATGAAAGATCTGAAGTGTGAATAGACCCAATAAGTGTCTATTTTCAAAATGGCAATTTTGTACGGGGCATAGCTACACCATACTGAGTCACCCTGTTCAGTTTAATACCAAAGTACAGTCACTACAGCTACAGGGAGAAAACTGAATTCAAATTTAGAGTCCCGCATTGTTAACAAACCTGCCAGCTAAGTTCAGATTTTAGAATGTTATCACTGTTAATGTTCTCTGGACATTGTGTAACCCACACACCTCCTGGTGTGGTGTTCTGTCCCATCTAGTGGCACCGAGACCACTTAGAGAGAGAAAATGAGTCTGCTCTACAGCCTTAGCTAACAGCCAGTTGGCTTTAAGCTCATGCGGTAGAGGCTCACGCACTAAGCTCCAGAGGTCCCTGGTTCTATCGCGCCTGCTGACGACTAGGGTCTGTCAGTGTTACAGTTGCATTCATCTGTTCTTACCTGAAATTGATTATCTCCATGGATTCTTCGGGGGTGTTCAAGAAAACTTTAAGTTCTTGTCCTTTTTTCACCTGGATTCCTCCATCAAGGCTGGTTGATGTCCTCAGTCCTGTTACCCAATTCAAGCCAGCTCTTCCCAAATTCCCCACAATTCCCATTTGGGCAGAAATCTGGATAAAAGCACTGGCAAGAGATGTAAAGAAACACAGTTCCCACTGAAAAGCACCTTCTTATTTACCAACATCACTGTCTAAGCCACAGGCTTCTTATCCTCTGTGGCACTGTACGTGTTTCATTGCTAATTTTAAAATTGGGGTGAACATTTTGTTTTTTAAAATAACTTTGAAATATTCAGACACACGCATCTTAATACAAGCCACAGCAAAAGTCTGTGTTATAACAGAGAGGTATACAAGCTGAGGAATTTAGACCTGGATTCAAATCCAAACTCCACCAGAAGAGGCAAGGGAAGTGGTTGAATCCAGTGTTTTGGTTCAGGCCCATCTCTATTTATACAGGACACAGCAAAGATCAAATAAATAATTCAAGAACAGAGCTAAAAGTCTGACAGTCAGGTAAGCTAATATAGGGCTAGATCAAGGGTAGGCAACCTATGGCACGCATGCCGCCTTCGGCACACGAGCTGATTTTCAGTGGCACTCACACTGCCCGGATGCTGACCACCGGTCCGGGGGCCTCTGCATTTTAATTTAATTTTAAATGAAGCTTCTTAAACATTTTAAAAAACCTTGTTTAGTTTACATATAACAATAGTTTAGTTATATATTATAGACTTATAGAAAGAGCTTTTCTAAAAATGTTAAAATGTATTACTGGCACGCGAAACCTTAAATTAAAGTGAATAAATGAAGACTTAGCACACCACTTCTGAAAGGTTGCCGACCCCTGGGCTAGACCCTTGTCTGCTATAATCTGGAATATAGCTCTATTGACACCATCTAGATATATTTGACCCATAATGCAATTTATTCTCATATGCAAAATTAATTCATAATACCACAGATTATGGAGTGATGCTCATCGACATAGAGGAATAAGTGGGTATACATTTTTTTAACCAGTAGCCTCAAAAAAAGGATGAAATACTTTGGTCTCCCACATTTAATTTTGGGGCAAGGATTTCTATCCATAGCTCAGAAAAAATCTTAAACCAACATCTCATCTTCAGGAAACTGCTTTGGAAAGTGGTATAGTTGTGGAAGAACAATGTGAGTACGTAAGACAAACACAGGAGGTGTGTAACTTATGAAATTGGATTCAAAACAAACCCTCCCTCCCAATATTTTGTTTTAACAGGGCTAACTGATTGGTAGGAACACAGCAAAAGAATATTCCTGCCTGAATTACTTCAATGGAATGGCCTCATACAATTAAAAAGCACTCAGACCATACCCCATCCTCCAGGTCCCATTGGAGACAAAATCATGGAGATCCCTATGAAATCCAAGGGAGAATCAGCTGTATTATATGAAAAGCAATTCGTGAGATCACCCGCCTGCAAACATTGTAAACTTGACTTAGAGGTACTATAAATGGGCTGGCTAAAAAAGCAGGGCTGGAGAAGCACAACAATAGAGAATTTAAAATGAAATGGACAGCATAAAAAACTGCTGCTTCCTGATAACATGGCAACCTATAGCACACTGCTGGTCGCTGAATAGTTCTCCGTGGATTTCCTAATTGATTGCAGGGCACATCCGCATGGAACTTGTGCCTAAAGCATCACTACATTCTCCTCACTGTCGGAAGTGTGTGGAAGTAATAAATACATGGTAACACTTTGCAGTTGTATAGCACTTTACATCCACGTGCCTTATAAAAGTGAGCTCATATTATTAATCTCATTTTACAGATGGGAAACTTAAGGAATAAAGGGTACATCTACATGGCAATAAAAGACCTGTGGTACAGCCATGGCTAGACGGCCAGCTGATGAGGGCTTGTGGCGCTTGGACTGCGGGGCTAAAAATTGCAATATAGACATTCGGTCTCAGGCTGGAGCCTAGGCTCTGAAACCCCAGAAGAAGTTTTTAGCCTTGTGAGCCCAAGTCAATTGACCTGGGCTCTGAGACTGAGTGCCACAGGGGTTTTATTGCACTGTAGACATACCCAAAAAGGCAAAATGTCCTGAGGCAGAAGCAGAACCAAGGACTCCTGATTCCCATTCACATGTTCCAGACACTAGACCATGCTGCCTCTCTTCTATTACTACAGTTCTTAAAGATGTCAACCAAGCACTTTCAAAGGTTCCTAGGATACATTTCATGATATTGGTATACAACCCAAAGTCTGTAATCACAGTATGGTTCAAAGTAATGACAGTTTAACTACAATGTACCTGAATTATGAAGAAATATAGATATTACCTACTATATAAAGCACCTTTTACCTTGGTTTGATACATCCATTTATGAAAAAATTTGATCGTTGTTTGAAATCCACATTCCCTTTGATTTTTATATTGGTTGCTGCTGATGCATTTAAAGCCAGTCTAACTTGAAAGCCTGAAATTGATGGAAAGAGCAATTCTTCGGTAGCCAGACTCAGTCTTTTATTAAACTGGACCTCTTGTCCCTATGGCAAAATAATGAAACAAAATAAAATTGCTATGAATATTATAAAGTCAGCCACAAGGATTTTTCCAGACTTTTGCTTGGGACAGAACCATCTGCTGTGTTTTCCATAGCATTTCCCCTTCTATAGCAGGTCCTTTTCATTGAGCTGGATTTGGAAATTAATGAAAAACCAGCACCAAAGCTTATCTTTGGCAAGCCGTGTGAGTGTTTAAACTAGACAAGGTATTATTTTGATCTGAAGTATGAACGTTTTTGGACAAGAACAGGGACAAGCATAATCAAGACATTAAACTAAATTTTGTTCATAGTGACACAAACACATCCCCTTCTGTTACAACCCAGAGTAGATCCCACGTATTTCCCAGTCTTAGAGGTTTCTAAAAAATATTCTGACTTGGTTCGATTTAAACAAATAATAATCCCATTCTTCACCCTCTTACATATCAGTTCAAAACTAGTTTCTCTAAGCACCCACTTTCAAACAGCAGAATGGTTCCTTTTACCTTTAGAAGCTTGACAGCCAGCTCTGCCAGGTTCAGGGAATAATGTTTCACTTGCTTCTTTATATCCTCACAGTCCAAAAAGCTGAGTTCATTTCCAAAAATCTTGATGCTCAGTTCGCATTTCAGCTCCTTCTTTTTCCCCATCCTTTCAGTAAACTGACAGAGTGGTACAGAGTTATTTAGGAGCAGGGGCTATTTACACAAAATGCCATTCAACCTCACAGCAAACACATCGCCAGTGCAGTTCAGATTATTAGCAGAGGGGATGGTGGGGCATTTGAACGCACACAAATATGACAAGCCCACATGAGCTCCTGGTTATTAGGCCTGGTGTGTCCTGTACACAGGGCCAGCTTTAGGCCGATTCGCCCGATTCCTTGGCACTCACCCCGGCGGCGGTCATCTTCGGGGGCCCCGCTCCCCTGGCCAGAGTGCCGGCTGGAGCGCGGCAAGCCCTGCGGCCCCGCTCTCCTGGCTAGAGCTCCGGATGGAGCGTGGCAGCCCCGTCGCCCCATGACCCCAGCTGGGGCGCGGCTGCCCCATGGCCCCACGACCCCGGCCGGAGCGCGGCTGCCCCATGGCCCCACGACCCCGGCCGGAGCGCGGCTGCCCCATGGCCCCACGACCCCGGCCGGAGCGCGGCAGCCCTGCGGCCCCCCCTCCCCCAGCCGGCAATCCGAAGTGCAGCCCCAGGAATCGGGCCCCGCACTTGCTAAAGCCGGCCCTGCCTGTACAGCATTCCACACACCAAGGATCAGCTACTTTCAGCCAGGAGCAGAAGTGATAGATGCTCCCAACTGAACATATTCAAGATGGGTGAATGACAGGGCTCCTGAAATGCTGAACACTGCTGTGCCAGAGACAGATATGGCTTTGGGGAAACAAAACCGCCAACCCCCCTGGAATAATCATGGGCACCAGGTTTGTATAATTTTTGGCGGTGCCCAGAACGGGTCCAAGCAGAGCCGTCCCATCCATAGGACGCACCGGGGCATCTGCCCCGGGCCCAGCACTTTGGGGGCCCCCACGATTCAGGGGAATGCGGGGTCCAGGGCGGCCTGGGGAATTAGCGGGAAACCTGGCGCTGGCAGCAGCGAGTGACATGGCCCCATCCTGGCCTGCTCCACTCTGCCCCGCCGGCTCCTGGCGTTGCTCGGGGGAGGGGGCGGAAGCCGGAAAGGGGTGGGGCAGGGGTTTGGGGGAAGGGGTGGAATGGGGGTGTGGAGGGGGCAAAGCAGGGGTGGGAAGAGGCAGGATGGAGGCTTGGGGGAGGGGCAGAGCAGTGCGCAGAGGGCTGGGGCAAGGTTGCTCACTGCTGCTGGGGCCAGGCCCCCCGCTAACCCTCCAGGCCACCCTGGACCCCACGTCCCCCTGAAGTGCAGGGCCCCCCAAAGCGCCAGGCCCAGGGTGGTTGCCCCAGTCCATCCTCTGAAAATATAAGCCCAAACATTGGTGGAGCACAGGCACAACGGGCCCATATAAATCGCCGCCTATGGGAATAATAATCTTTGACTCTTGCTGTGAGTGGAACTCACCCATCCTGTGGGTGCCATGTTTGCCTCCAGATGTCACTAGCCTTCACTGACTGCCACCGCGATTTCAAACCCTTCAAAGCAAAGCCTCTCCCCCTGACTACAATGTTGAGGAAGTGGCAGAGGTGGACATATTGGAGTCATGTGGCTCCTAACTGCTGTGAAAATCTGTTTGGCTATTTCTCCATATGCCCCTATATAATAATTTTAGTAAAACTGGTTGAATTTTTTTTTAAATTTTCAAATTTCAAGTAAAATGGGGCAAATATTTTCATGAAATTTTCATGAATTATCCCCCCAATTTTTTTACCATCTTTATTTTTTAGGGGATGTATGTCCTTAAAACTTTCAACTTTAATCCATGTGATGATTTAGGGGTTCCAGCTTTACTGCTTCTGAATTGTTGATGAGTTTATGAAACCGTATCATGAAATTGCTGTGTCATGTTAAGCCTATACATATATGGATCCACCAGGGGTTAGCAGGGTCACGTCACATCTCTGCCAAACCTGAGATAATGATGGATGATCAGCACTCAGTGATTGTCTAGTCAAAGTAAGACACTTTGGGAACAATGGGTTTGCTCTAGCTGGGAGAAGACACTCTCTCCTCTTGCTCTGGTTTGGGAGCAGTGGGAAGTTACCAAAAGGCAGAACAAAAGAAGCAGGTGACCCCAGCAGGAATCTACAAATGGACGCATGGGGGGAAGGGGAGAGTGGGGAACAGAAGACAGAGCCATTTTGCACCAGATTAAGATGAGAGAGGTTGCTGCAGGGGCAAGGCAGGTAAGGGGGCGAAGGACCCTGCCAGCCTGAGGGAACACAGATGAGCCCCCAAGGACTCCCAAGGGAAGGGTGAGCTAGTGAGGAACATTGCGTTTAGGAAGTGTTATTGTTCTCTGTGTGATCTGTGCTTGCTTGTGCTTTACGTGATTATGAATAACAGAGCATTAATGTGTTAGACTCTGAGCAAAAGTGTCTCTGAATGTTAGTTTCACAACGTCTGCGTACCGCTCAGCGAGCTGAACTGTGAACCAGAAGCTTCACGCCTTTGCGGTGGAATTCTGGGAGAGTGTTTCTTGGTGGCTACAGCTTGTTCTGGGGCCTAGGGTGGTGGGCTGAGGAGCCCCATTTCTGAGGAGTAACAAGACTGAGAGTCAGTGCCCAGGAAATGTGCCAGAGAGACCAAAAGGGAACTGTCTGCTGCAGCTTCAGAAACTTAACACACACACACACACACACACACACACACACACAGGCTTGGATTCCCCTCACAGCAGTCCTACTGGGTAGCAGGAAGAAGGTGCTTGCTAGGATAGGGTTACCATCTGTCCGGGTTTCCCCGGACATGTCCGGCTTTTGGGTCTTTAAATAGCCATCCGGGGGGAATTTGTAAAAAGCTAAAAACGTCCGGGATTTCCCCCCGGACGGCTATCTAAAGACCCAAAAGCAGCTGACAGGGCAGCCGCGCCGGATTGAGCCGCTCACTTGGGGCCGCTCCGGCAGCAAAAGCCCCTCCCCAGCTTCCCCCTCCCTCCCCTGCAGCTTCAGCACGCCGGTAGCAAAACGGGAGCAGGAGCTGTTTGTGCCGCTACACTGCTTGTGTTCCTCTTGAAACCAATGGACCAAAAAAAAAAAAAAAAAGAGAGAGAGAGAGACAGACATCAGTAGGAACAAGATTAAGCCTTAGATTATGGAGAGACAGCCCAAAGTACCACTGTCTGGGAACCAATGCTCTGAGATAATATAGCTTCTGCAAAACAGGGCATTATTCTCCACATCTTTGATTCTTGCACAGTCATTAACACCTGTGCAAAGTGATTGTAAAACACTGCCACATCCAAAGGGCAGCATTCTACATCCTTTTTATACAGGACTTCTAAGCAATTCTAGATCAGACCCAGAAACCACGTTAGAGCATCACAGTCTTTACCAGGATATGTATATTCAGTTACCTTTTTCACTAACTCACTCATCTTATTGTACTTTCCACCTGGACAGCTCTGCTTTGCGTTTCTTAACTTGGGCTTGGCACCTTTGGTCACAAGACGATGTCCACGGCTGTCTCTCTTTGAAGTCAGCTTCTTTTGTTTGGATTTTCCAGCTGCCTCCACTGGATTTTCTGACTTGGAGTTTCTTTCATCAGTATTTGTAAACAAGTATTCACTAAAAGTAGCAGAGTGTTGGCCAACCATCTTCTGCATGAGATCTTCCGCATTCTCTAACCGTACGTTAAACTAGAGGAGAATATATTTAGAAGACCACACATAGCTGGGCATAACCATATTCTATTCAGCAAATAGAAATTTAACAACCAGCATGGCTCTGGACTGGCAAAATGTAGACTTCTATAGCAACAATGAATTAGCCATATCAGGCCAAACCGTTAGTCCACTGAGTCCACTATCCTGCCTCAGGCAGTGGCCAATACTGGATGCCTCAGTAATAACTTCCATACCGCAACTATAGCCAACCATGTGATGCTTTATATTGGGGAAACATTTCTTTCTTAATCTGGCAGCAATCCATTTACACCCTGAAGCATGTATTCTGGCTACACCTAGTTGAGCATGTTACAAATAATATTGGTTGTAAAATTACACACCTCTTTTTTCTGTGCTACATAGAAACTTGAAGTGTAGTTCTGTTCAGAAATCTGACTAACATGGCATTATGAGGGTCAATATCCAATTGGTGCACATTTAATGTAAAAAGATTTTTTTTCTAACTACTCGCCCTGCAAATGGTAACCTGGAGTCTGAAAATTAAGATGAATTCTTTCCCTCATGGGCATCTTCATCAGCAATAAAGATTATGGAGGCCAAACTGCACCTTCAGTTCCAGCTGTGCAATTCCAGGTATAACCGAGGGCACAATTTAAAGACAATGAGATTGCATATGGGTCACCATTTTGTAATGACCACAACCATGAGTTGTCAGCCAGGATTGAACCTGGGGCCGTCAGCAACAAAAAGCAGTCTTGAACTAAAGGAGTAACTCGGTTGGGTTGCATCCAGCTCCCATTGAAGCCAATGAAAAGATTCCCAATGACTTCAATAGGAGCTGGATTGGGGTTTAGTTGGCAGCAGTTCTAGATTTTATCTCCAATGTGGATAGGGCACTCGTGGAAGATATGAGCTGCTTGGCTAGTCTGCTACATTAACACAGTAGAGAGAGTTATCAATTTGAACACAAATCAACCTGTTAAATTGAAGTGTTGAAAGGGCTGATTTGTGTCCAAACTTTCATAAACTCACCAGATGAATCTCATATACAACATTCATTAATCTCAAGAAAAAATATACAACTTGATGAAGAAACCATAACTGGAAACTATACCCAGAAACTATAAAGCATTTACTTCTATTTCAATACACTAGGCATTCCATGAAGAGGGAAAAAACAGAATTTACCTCCAGTAGATTTATAGCCCGCCCTAGGGTGTATATAGTCAAGTTTGTCATTGTTGATCGTGGGATGAAAGATGCAGGAGAAAAGACCAGTGCTGCCTCCACATTAGCACCTGCAGTTGCTGCAATATAAAACATCAGACATCAGGTCATTTTAAGATAAAATATTGTCATTTACTTTTCAAGTTCCAGCCTCTCTCTGGGAAATGGCAGTTTTGTCTTTTATGGAGAAGAAGAAAACATTCAGCTAACAGATGAATCCATTTATTAACCCTTTAGCATAGCAAAAACTCAATGGACACCACAGTATGCACAAACCCTAGCTCGCCTACAGGAAGGTGCACTTATGGTTTATGTCTTACATATATATACTTAAAGAGGAAGAGTTTTATAGTACATGAGCAAAAATACTAATCTGACTTTGCTTCTGAGAAACTAAAACCAAAAACAGATATGCTGGGGGGGGGAAAAGAATTTGCCTTGATCTCCTCTCAGATTAGTGTAAATCCAGTGAAGTCAACATAGGTGCTTCAAAATAAAAACAATGCAAGTGACAGGAGAAGCAGGCCCCAAGTATTTCAGAGAGAGTTCTGTTTAGTGGTATATTTGGTGCCTAGTGGTATGGGGCTTACTACTGATATGTAGGAAGATAAGAGTTCAGAGGTGAACTCAGGGAACCTCCTCCCCAAGTCAGCTTATAACACGGAGGAAGCTCAGTTGCTAATCATATCTCCTTAGTGTCCGTGATTGCACTAGCCTGAACACCACTCTTGTTGCTGCTCTGGAGGTCCATGCCCCTCTGGAAGAGAGTGTTGTAGAGTCAAAGGAATGACTGGAAAGTACCAAAAAGTCGATTGGATTGGATTTTCCTTTCACTCACACCTGTTGTACACTGTCACATTCAATGGAGTGACCACTGATTTGCACCAACAGAAGTGAGAGCAGAATCAGGCCCCACGTTTGCATATCTGGGTTCTATTCATTCATAAAAATTAAAATATTCTGTGGGAAAGTGAGGAATAAAGGAAAAAGAAAGCCACCCAGGGATTTAAAGCATGCACATGTGGCACAAGGTCCAATTTTAAAGTGAAACATACCTGAATGGAAAGTGACATCTGAATATGAGGAATATTTCCATATCTCCCAGTCAAACTCTCTGCTGAGAATGTCATCAGGAAGAGAATCTCTAAGATGTTGCTTCAGTGGATCATCTGTCTCCAGGAGCTGAGAGAGGTGACTCCAAACAAAAGAACCCACTTAAATTAGACAAAGAAAGAGGCTTGTCAATCACAGAAGAGGGTTTTTTATTTTTTAATGAACTAAGCTACAGTACCAGATTCTTCACTTATTTACACCTGTGCAAATCCAGAGTCACTGCCCCAACCGCACTGGGGTTAACTCCAGTTTACACCAGTGTAACAGAAATCAAAGTCTAGACCACTAGCTAATCTCATCACTGGCAGTTATTTAAAACATCCCATTTTAATGCATCCTAGTAAAAGCCAGAGTTTGTTCTATGTTTCACTGATGGTATTTACAAACTTTCCAATTGCTGTAGTTAACTAACTAGTATTTAAAGATAACCAACCTCACTATTTGCAGTATTCAATGTTTTTTTTTTTAATAATAAGTACAGAATAGCACAAGGGAATGCACTGGATTGGAGGTAAAATAGACATGCTGCTCAGTACCAACAGCATAGCTCCAAAAATTTAGAATTATTCTGGATTTACATTAGTGTAACAGAGCAGAATCTGGCTCTCTGGCACCAAATAAACCCATAATGAAGAGGTCACTCTGTTATGTAATTACATTAAAAACTATATTAAAACAGCATTAAGGCTGCCCATGCAAACTTAATTCAGCCCCCTTGTAAGTATGCATTATGATCGGTTTTCCCCAACATCATATAGGAAGTCTATGGAAAAATCTGGAATGGAACCTTGCTCTCCTGTGTTTCAATCCAGTGCCTTAAACACAAGAGAATGGTCTCTTCTTGGAACTGCTGCTCCATTTTACTGTCCACCCTGTACTGTCTTATACAAAGATCTTGTACAACAAATAATCATATAATTAAAGGCTGCATATAATGCAGAAGGGGGTTTCAACAAGATTGCATGGGCAACCCAACACAGGCATTTCCTAAATTGTGAGTGCCTGGACTTTGCAACCCTAACATTCGTTTAATGAAGTTTTTGGCATGTAATTTCTTAAGTTATTTTAAAAAAGCAAACGTTTAAAAAATTATATCATGTGGACTTTAACCAGTGATTCTCGAACTTTTGTACTGGTGGCCCCTTTCACATAGCAAGCCTCTGAGTGCGACCCCCCCTTATAAATTAAAATCACTTTTTTATATATTTAACACCATTATAAATGCTGGAGGCAAAGCGGGGTTTAGGCTGGAGGCTGACAGCTCGTGACCCCCCACATAATAACCTCACGACCCCCTGAATGGTCCCGACCCCCAGTTTGAGAACCCCTGACTTATACTGACCTCTTACATGGGTCTTTGGCAGAGTCAGAACCCACAGCTTTTAAATCTGTAGCACAAAGCTTGATTACTTAAGCTACAAGTTACTGGCAGCAGTAGTAGGCTTTTATCTTCCAGGTGGATCACCTGCTATATGGCACATACTTTGCCAGTGGCTTCCACAAATGTTTGATAGAAAACGAGAATTTGGGGAATCAGGAATCTTGTGTTCTATCCTGGTTCTACAGTCTAGTTCAGGGATCGGCAACCTTTGGCACGCGGCCCGCCAGGGTAAGCCCCCTGGTGGGCCGGGCTGGTTTGTTTACCCGCCGCGTCCGCAGGTTTGGCCGATCACGGCTCCCACCGGCCGCGGTTCACTGTTCCAGGCTAATAGGGGCTGCGAGAAGCCGCGGCCAACACATCCCTCGGCCCTCGCTGCTTCCCGCAGTCCCCATTGGCCTGGAACAGCGAACCGCGGCCAGTGGGAGCCGCAATCGGCCGAACCTGCCGATGCGGCAGGTAAACAAACTGGCCCAGCCCACCAGGGGGCTTACCCTAGTGGGCCACAGGCCAAAGGTTGCCCATCCCAGGTCTAGTTGCTACAGACAGCATAGCCAAGCATATAGATTAGGCACATTTACTGTGGAAGGCAATTCCTGCTACTGCTGCTGAATTCTTTCTCACACCCAGAGTTCTAGCGCTGTGCCTGGGAGCACACTCCCAGTATGTGAGAGAACTCTGAGGGTATGTCTACAGTGCAATTAAAAACCCACGGCTGGTCCGTGCCAGCTGACATGGACTAGCAGGGTTCAGGCTGTTTAACTGCAGTGTAGACTTCTGGGTTTGGGGACCCTCCCATCTCACCGGGTCCTAGAGCCTGGACTCCTGCCTAAGTGCGGAAGTCTACACTGCAATTAAATAGCCCTGCAGCCTGAGCTACGTGAGTCCGAGTCAGCTGGCACGGGCCAGCCACGGGTGTCTAATTGCACAGTAGACATACCCGGAGAGTCTGGACAGTATGCTTAGTGCAGATGGAATGTACAGGGATTTTTAAACTCCAAGCCTCTAACAAGCTCTACTAAGCATGAGCAAATGGTGATTTTTCAAATCTTAAAACTTGACCAAAACTAGAGGTATTTTCATGGGGACAGCAAGAGGTCTCTTTATCCATTGGAGCATCCCCCTTGCCAAATTTCAAGTCCCTACTTCAAAGAATGGAGGCACTTGAAATTGGAGGCGTCAAAAATGATTTGAAAAAAGTAACATTGGCCACATGATCAATTATTCCCTAACCTCATTCTCGGAAATGGCAGATCCATTTTGGTGAAACTTAAAAAAAAAAAAAAAGTCAGGCTGGGACGGAGAGCAAGCACAGAAAATTCTGGAGTAAACAGTTAAAGTCTGGCAAAGTTAGAGCAATTGAAAACAGAGATTTGCAATGGAAAGTGTTAGGCAACCTTAAATACAGACATCACTACCAGCTCCACTTACGGTACCACCTAAATAAACTCACGTAATGAGTACTTTTCTCAAGGTTTACAATTCCACATGCAATTCTGTTTCCATCGTACAAGACAACTGGCAATGAAAGCTCTTTACATAAAGTAAATAAATCTGAGGCTGTTATATTTTTGGAACCCAATTTTCTAACAGGAGACTGCCAATTGCTTGCTGCACTGGCTGCAGAGATGAGTTCCCATGCTCCAGCTTCACATATAGAGTTGCAGTATTTATATGATTGTTTGGAGGGGTTGTAATGCAGCTTGATTTTTCATGTGTTTTTATTCTGAACAAGGATCCTGAAAACCAATGTGTGCTTTATGCCCTGAAAGGCATCTATTACCCATGAATCTATTATATAATTAGTGTAAATTCCACATGCTCAGAAGCCCAACAGAAAAATCAAGACAGTTTCTAGATTTTAGGGTTCTTGCCTTCAATCATTGGTGCAACCGGACAACAGTTTTCGATTTCTGTGCAGATCTGGCTCATAAATCAAAACTAATACAGATTTTGTCTTTTCCAGGTTACAGAGAAGAGGATCACTATCCGTGCTGATTCTGGACAGGGTTAAAAGCACTGGATCAAATTATAATTATTCCTTGTTGATTATGGTGAAGTTGTTTATAGAAAATCCCTCCTTCATCCCAAATCCTGGATCATCTTAAACATGTGCTGCTTTTGTATAGGAAGCTGATGAGATTCTTCACTTCTATGTAACCCAGATGCTTATCATTTTCACACTAGTTGAAATGGCTTCCCCTCTGGAAAATCTACCACATAAACAAAGGCAGTGTTTTAAACCAAGCACAATGGATTTTCTATGCAGCGTCAGTTTTCAATTCAGCATCTAATATCAGCAATCTGATTCACGTCAGGCGGCAATCAGTCATGGGTTGATCTGGAATTACTGAAATAGGCAGTATGAAGTAAAGAAAAAGACTGCAATACTGTTGCCTAGAAACTATGCATCTGAGCATATTCCAAATATTTAAAAATATCTCTCTGACTGTTTTACGTAATATCCCTTCTAATCCAGCATGTTCCCCTTCCCACACTTTTCTTCTTCTCTGGATTATTAATGTTTTGTTGTTGCTGTTGTTTGCTCCTAATTGTTTGCCAAAGTTGTCAAACTTTAGTCTCCAGAGCATTTCCAGGTGGTCTGAAGAGCTGCTTCTGTCATAACGATGAAGCATCTCTCAGTAAGTCTCGCTGCTATTTGCAGACGAGTCCAAAACACTTAAGGTTTCCATTGAATGTACGATCAACTAAATTAAAATTAATAACCCCTCTCTGTACCCTTCAGAATTGTGTTTGTCTCTGGTGTAAATTCAACCATGATTAAAGATACAGATGACACCAAAACTGATGGACAACAAATGCAAAGGATGACACCACTAGACAGCACAGTGTCCCAGAGAGAGAAGTGGAGGTGAAGCTGTAGGCAATAAGAGGGGATTCAATATTAATAAATGTGTAGTACTATACCCAGTGAACAACTAATATAAAATGGGGAGATGGGGAACATTTTAAAGGGGCACTGTGAAATACTTTGTAAACAGCTTTTATAATACCTATTACCTGAAATAATTTTCAGAAGCTTGGAAATTTATTTATTTTTTTGCTACTTTTTTCCTTCTCCATTCAGCAAACTTTATAATTAGCCATTTGTGTTTGTAATGTAATAAAACTCAGCATGGCCTGTTGTTCCTCTCTCAGGCTCTTTGATGATGTCAGTATGTGTTCATTAAATGCTGCCAGCCAGGAGAGATCACACCTGATTTTCTTTTGTGCACCACACCAAATTGTTGACAATTAAAAAAAAATTAAAACCCCAAATTCTAACAGTTTTAAAGTAGGTAACGTGGAGCTCAAACCTCATGCACCTCTAATAGAAATCAAATAAAAAAATCAAGTCTAGAAAATAACATATTTAGGTATTTTTAACATTTCAGTAGCTGTCTGCTGACCTTGGCTGGATGTCTCCTCCTGCAAAGTCTGTTGTACTTGGTTAAACAGCTCATCACTCGGACATTTCATTGCTATATAATATGAAGCAATTCTTATTTCCACGTCATCATCGGCTGCTTGATATAAACGGACTAATACAGTACGCTTGAAAAAAAAAAGATTAAGGTACTTACTCCCCTAAAAGAGTTGAGGTGCATTAATTTCTAGGTATAAGCGGCTAGCCATTGCAACAAGCATTATGAGGAAAGTAAGTTGTTTTATACAATATCAATACACACACATATATGTACAGCACAGCATCCTGTTCACAAAGTCCCAAGATGCTATACTATTACACAGATTGGGGTGGATCCATTGAGCTATAGGGGAGCATTACTATTAACATAAATGAGTTCAGGACTGGACCCCAATACAGTAATCATTAATACAGTTTTAAGTAGCAGAATTTACTAGTCCAGGACCAAATCCTCGGTTCCTTATTCAGAGCCTGATCCTGCTAACACATCTGTGTCTGAGTAATTTTTCTTCACATGGGTAGGTCTTCTTCCATATCTTACAGGTGGAAGGAAGTCATTTTGTACACCCAGTGTTTAGTTCATACAATGTCATTTATTCTTTTCTACTTAATGGTACTCCATGTGACAATTTGTTTTTACCAATGAGAATATAGTAATGAGTGGTATAACCATATAACCCAGTTATACCCTTGAACTGCACACAAAATTTCAATAGATTTCAATGAGCCTCTGTATTTGTCACAATGACAGGATCAGGCTGTGTGTCAGTATGGGAAGTAAATCAGTTAAACAAATGAGGAGGAAATGCTTTGTCTTTCTTAGTATACCTCAGAGTGTGAGTCCTCTCAAGTGTGGGAGGAAATTCCAGGTCTATCTAGCAAGACATGCTGTAGGCTAGTTTTGCCTAAGGCCTGGTGGGTATGGCTTTACATTTTCCTATGTCTACCAAATGCTGTGTCAACCATTTACTTCTCTCTAGCCAGCTAAGAATGGGAATGTCTCAGTTGTAACTAGGCTTATTCATTGCATAAAACGTCCAATACTTCACATTGCACAAAAGGAGGTTGAGGAGGAGGTTGAAAAAACAACACCACATGAGCCCCTCAGGGGCTTCACCAAGGCAAGGAAAGCCAGGCAGCTCAAGTTACCACCTTTTATCAATTTGCCAACAGTTACCACAGTGGGATGCTGAAGTTATCTAAGCATAGAGCTACAGTGATACCTGCAATATTACAATGTGGTAATTGTATTGCACTTTCATTATGTTAAAAGGGACCTTTTGCCTGCGAAAAGATCACATTTGTCAAGAAAAACATCTGAATGCTTTTTTTGCTTCTCCAGCAAGAACACAGTCCTTCCCAACCTCCCCTGCAGCAGAGAGAGTTCTGCTGGGAGATGCTTTTATACTCGGTTCTTATTTGTTTGCACACTCCAGAATTATTTCACACAGGGGCACCATTTTAGATTTTGGGGGAGGGAGACAACTTTAACCATGATTCCAAGAGCTACTTAGGCACCTGAAAACTCTAGGATTTTGGGGGGGTTTTCAGATAATAACTTAGAAATTAGCTGATAGGGCACTTTATCTAATTCCTATATATAAAAAAAGGATTAAATAAATATTAGACCCACTCAGCTCTAATACTAACATGTTCTCACATCATGTATCAAGTCACTTAAGGGACAGTGGTTAGGTTTAACATTTTAATGTATATTCTTTGTTACTAACACTTGAATACAACAATTGAAACAATTATAGAAAAATCTAGATTACTTTCTATCACTTTTTTGAAGTTCATCAAGCCTGGAATAGATCATTTAACTTTGGAAACATCCCCTACTAGGGCAAGGCCCCATGAGTTTATATTGTACCTGCTTGGGGCTTTAGAGATGTTACCTCACTACAGATAATAGACTAGAAACTAACTTTAAACAGGAGTGAAACTGACACTTTCAAGTCACTTTCACAGTGTTGCCAGGGCCGGTGCTACCATTAAGGCAAACTAGGCGGTTGACTAGAGCGCCAAGATTTGGGGGTGCCAAAAAGCAGTGCCCCCAATTTTTTTTAACAGCGTTCCTGGGCTGGGCTGCCGGCGGCGCGCTGACACGTGCAGCTCAGACTCCCTCTCCCAGCACAGCAGCCGCTCCACTTCTCCCGCCTCCCAGGCTTGCGGCGCCAATCAGCTGTTTGGCGCCGCAAGCCTGGGAGGGGAGGAGAATTAGAGTGGGGGCGGCGTGCTCAGGGAGGAGGCGGAGCAGAGGTGAGCTGGGGTGGGGAGCTGCCACACGGCTCCCCGGGGGGGGG